GGCGTTAGCATGCTGCAAGGCTAATGTGGCTAGTGTCTGGCCATTTGCATATAAAAGATGGAGGACATGACAGCTCTCTAAAAGTGAAGCCATAACATCTTGATCGCCCCCTGGTGGCTGATTGCACTAAAAGGTTATATCCAGTATAGGTTGCCTCCATGTTAGCAGATGTGACATAGGCTAAACTAAAAAATCTTCCCAATGTGGTGTGGCATTTTCTATAGATCTTATTATGCTGCTGTATGTTTAAGGATTTTGATAAGCTCTGTTTTGATTTGTTATTTGAAGCTATAAAAATGGGGTTTCACATCATGACTCACAGCTGTGCCCTGCTCACAGTTGGATCGGCTGGGCGCTATTAGTGCAGTTCTAGCGTAACATCTTATAGTCTCACACAGTATTATACACAAAAGGGAGTCCTACTTTGAAAATGCCGCTTTTTGCACCAAGGCTGTAATTACGAGCTTTTGATATGTCTTGTAGTAAGTTACACTTGAATGTCCTGTCAGTCAGTCAGTTTCTTTGTCAATAGTTGATTAAATAAATAATTTTTTGTCATTATCGGGCTGTCTGCATACCATTAACTAGACATGAAATAAGTTAGTAACCTCTGTTTCCTTCATACAGAACAACACAACACTATAGTTGCTGCAACTCGGGATGTTGTCTGCCAGACCAACCTACTACAAAGACACTGCTGGACTTTTCAGCTTCAGACTACTTTGACATAAATACTACTTTGAGTTACAATGACTGGTGGCTGCAAAAATGTGAAAGGCCCTATCTAGAGCCAGTGTTGGTTTGTCCATTCTGGGCTACTGTAGAAACATGGCAGTTGAACATGGCAGACTCCATGGAAGAGGACCTGCTCCCTCTGTAGATAGAAACGTCTCATTCTAAGGTAATGAAAACACAATGATTCTTATTTTCAGGTAATTATACACAAGTGAAAACATACCTATAAATATTATATTCCATAGTCATGATAATAGATCCTCCTAAATATTACACATTGAACCTTTAAAGATACTGAGGTGATTATTTTCTGATGTTAAACTCAGAAAAAAATGAAATTCTTGTACTTGGCACCAAAAACCTCAGAGACTCACGGTCTAAAGATATAGTTACTCTAGATGGTATTACCTTGGCCTCTAGCACCACTGTCAGGAATCTTTCAGGACTGCCTTTTTTCATTTACGTAATATTACAAAAATTAGACACATCCTGTCACAGACGGATGCAGAAAAACTAATCCATGCATTTGTTACTTATAGGCTGGCCTCTGTCTCTGTCATTCTCTCTCTCTCTCTCTCTCTCTCACCCCAACTGGTCGAGACGACCACCCACGTAGAGCCGAGGGGTCTGTCCAAGGTTTCTGTCTTTTAAAAGACAGTTTTCCCTTGCTGCCATCGCCAAGTCCTTACTCATGGTGGAACTGTTGGGTCTCCGTAAATAATGTTATAAGGAGTTTGGTCTAGACCTGCTCTATTTGAAAGAAGTCCTGAGATAACTTCTGTTATGAATTGGCGCTATACAAATAAAATTGAATTGAATTGAAAAAAAAAATGTAATTCTAGATACACAGTGTACTCAATTGTCCCTACAATAAACAATATGTACAAAGCTAATTGTAGTAGGCTAACTAACTACAGTAACAAAAAAAAGTGTTCAATAAGGTTGGAGGCGAAGTTATCAGACTTGCACTTGCGTTTTTAGACTTTTTTGACTGGTGGGACACAAGCGGGGCACTGACTAATGCAGGGGTGGTATGAAGTACGTGTCTCAGCTTTCCAGTCATTCCTAATTTATGCAGTTCCAATAAACTTAAGGGAGCCCAATATGCAGACTATTCAAATACATTAAGCGAAAAAAAACACATTGACACCACAAATGCAAAAACTGCATGGTTGGGTGGGGTGGCACTTGGGGTGGTCAATCAGATTTTAGAGGTGGCCAATGCCCCCCCTCTGGACAGGCCCCTGGTGCAGTCTGTAAAACGGAGATACTTCACACTAGATTGTGCAAGTAGAGAATATGGCACAGTTCAGAAAATATGCTTTGTGTATATGTTTAATGCTATATAGTAAACAACAAACAACAAAAAAGTCATCTAAATAATTGGCTCCCCATTTTTCTGTTCTAAAACTGCTTTGAAAATACATGCAAGCAATTCAAACAACCAAGCAGTTCATATTTTTGATTTGTGATGCAGGATGCAAAAGTGCCCCTTTTTTTGTTGAGCAGACTAAAACGCCTGGCCTGGGCCTCTGCTGTAAATATTTTAGTGTGTGTGAGCACATACATCTAAAGGACACGTGTATGACTCTGAGCATGTTTGGTGTCTTCCTTTGTGGATTCATCCATGAGTGATGGCAGCTGGCAGAAGGGTGCTGACCCACACTGACCCCAAGCGGACCAAAAAGGGGCTGTGTGGGAAAGACGTGGGTGGACATGGACCACTTCCTCGGGCTCAGCATATCCCCCGGGCTGAAGGAAGCTCCCAGAGGTGGCTGGGGCTACAGAGCAGCACACACAGCTAGGCAGAGAGGGTGCACAAGATATAAAACTTCCATATGAAAACAAATAAATCCGGTCCAATAGGTAGCTGCAGAGTTAACTTATAAAGTTTTGTGTTTTTTTATTTTTTCCCGTATTACATTACACACAGTCATTTGATTAAATTTCAGTATGTAAAGTACTAATGAATGCAAACAGTTGTTTGCTTTTTGTGGGGGACTCATAACACTTTCTATAAGTATGTCATTTCGGTGTGACTATTGGAAGATGGGACTACATAAAAACATGGTTTACCTTCCAGCTAATTAGATTTTTAAATTTTGATATTATTTTTGTGTCATGCACACAAAGTGCCAAACCCTTATGGACAAGACACCAAAAATAGTGCAGTGGTAAAATATTTGATTCCATTACAAAATTACAAATTATACATAATTATACAGCTCAGTCAAAAATTATTCCGTTTTCTCTATCAAGCTTGGCACAAGATTTCGCTACAAGAAAGGCTTCCTCCTTGAAGCACAATTAAAATTTTTCATCAAGCCAAAAGAAATCATCATAAATGGAGGACGTTTTACTAAAAAGTACATCCCTCATGTCCTCAGACAGGACAGCAAAACAAAAGCAACTGTGCACCAAGGGATCTTTGTCTTTTGTTTATGGTATACTTCAGATAAAGTTCTACATTGTAATTATTCTTAATGAAACAATAAGTTCACAATTTGTTTTATACCATATATCAACTATCCATTTTTCTCTACAGGAGAAACATTTCACTCCTGAATAACACCATGTGACCTGATGATCTGTCTCATGTACTACAGTCAGGATATAGTGAAGGTTTCAGCAAATATGACAAAAGCTTTAAATTAATAAAATCAAGGCACAAACATATTGCAGCCGCAGGTGAAGCAATTGAGGATGCACCATCTTGCTATTTTTCATATTTTCAGTTTCACTTTTTCAGAGAGATGGAAATATGAATGGTTTTGCACAATTTATACCCTACATCAGAAATAAAAAAGGATGCTTTCATTTGATATGGAAAATATAAGAGAATATGTATTTTGTAGATTTTTGTCTGGGAAAAAAAGCAAGCTGTTTTAGTCATAATTTGTATTAATGTTCAAGAGTTTTGATAAACTCAGTTTTAATTCGTCACTTGAAGCTATAAAAAAGGGATTTCACATGGTAAATGGACCTGTACTTGTATAGCGCCTTTCTAGTCTTCTGACCACTCAGAGCGCTTTTACACTACGTGCCACATTTACGCTTCCACACACATTCACTCAGTGATGGCAAAGCCCATCAAACCGAAACTAACTCATTCATACACATTCACACACCAATGCATGGCATCGGGAGCAATTTGGGGTTCAGTAAGGATACTTCGACATGTGGCATGTAAGTTACACTTGAAGTCAAATGTCCTGTTAGTCAATCAGTTTCTTTGTCAATACTTTATTAAATAAATGATTTGTTATCATTATTGGGCTGTCTGTAGCTGTTGCCATCAACTACACATTTGAGATGAAGTTGGTAACCTCTGTTTCCTGCATACAGAACAACACATCACGACAGTTGGCTGCAACGAGGGATGTTGTCTGCCAGACCAACCTACTACAGAGACACTGCTGGACTTTTTTAGCCTCACATCAATACTACTTTTAGCTACAATGAGCTGTAGTGGCTACTAAGGAAGCTGTTTTAGTCATAATTTGCCTTCAATCTCATTTTATTAAAAAAATCATATTCAGAAATTCCTATTGTAAATGGTAAATAGACCTGTACTTGTATAAATGGCAAAGAAGCAGTGCCATTTCACCGATTGTAAAAGTCACCACGTGTGAACCATAATCACAGTATCAGACAGTATCTCAATCATAAATGTCAAAAGCTTTTATCTATGTTTTCTCATACACTACTGAATATATTTAATGTCACACTGAACCCAATTTCCATTTCAGCTAATCCACAGCCATGTAAAAGCCCAGTACTATAGATTAAGAAGGCTCAACTCACACTCTATCTGACAACAAACCTAAACAAGCTTACCCCACACAGTCCAAACACACTTGAACCAGTCTCCACCATGACATTGCATCGCCCTGGGCTGAAGGGGGGGGTCAGCAGATCGCATTACAATGTGTGATTGTGTCTCAGCAGAAGGAGGGGGAATACAAAGGTTTGATGGCACTTGTCAGTCTGCACTGCCCTTCAGTGGTCAGAATCTGTTAAAGCACATAGTCTGAGCTGTCAGCAAAGTTCAAGTGACATGAAGTTGTGAAGGCACAAATAGATCTGAATTTGTTTCATGAAAATCATCAAACTTGGTTTTACTTCTTCTGGCCACCAACATGCAAGTTTTAATGTACACTGTTTGTATACATACAAACACTATATATGAAAGACCATTTTTCATGCACTATTTTACACTATAGGCCTAATTTTCAGTTTTTATAATAGAATGTTAAGTAGCCTGGTTTTTAATCATTATACAGCACAAGGTTTTATTACAAAAGAAAAGTTTACATTTACTTCATGTTACACACATTGAAAAATATAATTGTAGAATAACAGAAAATTATTAAAATAAAATAAAATAAACCAACATACAGTTATTTATATATATATATAACACATACACACAGGAAATAATTTTGCAGTGCATCTTTTGTGTCTGGTTGAATGTCAACAGCAACAAGATTGTGATGATAATATGGTTTCATCTTCACATAAAATCCATCCACTTTCACTGCGTTTAAGCAGTCCACCTTCTCTCATCCTGCACTCTGTCGGCTCCAAACGCAGTTCGCCCATCTAGAGCTTGATCCAGGATGTTGATGGAGCAGATCTCTGTAAAGATGTCAGCAGTCCAGACCGGACATAAGCCAGTCCAAGCTGGACAGCATGGCTTCCATACGGCTCTCTTCCTCTCCTCCTGGGACCCACTGTAGTGGAACTGGTCCCACTGATCCGGCCGGGTGGACTGTCCTCAAGGTCTCTTTATCTGCTGCTCTTTAATCCACGCTTCCTTTTCCAACCAGAGGCGAGGGCATGATGCCACGTCCACAACATAGATACACACAGACAACAACTGAGGTTACGGCTAAAGGTATATAGGCAAGCATCTCCACAGTTCCATATATATACATAGAAGCTGCCTGAAGTATCCAATCAGAGGAGCCCAGAAATGAGTTCAAATGGTGAACAAAACACCTTGAGCAAACACACACGGTCCAATTATCTACAGCGCTCAACCAATCCAAAATAAAGTTGTGTTTCATAGCGAGTACACCATTATCGGTATCTGTATTTGTTCGTCCAACTAAATTATTTGTATTTGTACCTATACCCAGAATGGGTGGGGCTTAAATTATATCTCTGTACTACTGTTAGGATATAGTTAAAAGTTTCAGCAAATATGAAAAAAAATATATTTCTATAAAAATTACCTACAGCTTTAACATGTGTGGTGCCTTAAACCTTAGTGGGCTGCACAAACCAGGACGCTAATTTCAGCCTGACTGATTGATTGATGGGTTGATCAGAAGTTGCTATATTTACAAGATATCAATCGAGCTTAAGAGCAATGTAACTACATAGGTTGTGAACCAAGTGAAGTAGTTTTATATCGACATTGGCAACCAAGTTTTCCCCGCCTGCAGTGAGAATTGAATCAACTTACCCGACGGACATCCAAAGGCGACTTGTTGTCGAAGTTTTGTGAGTTCAGTGTATAATAACTGTTTTTACAGAAAACGTTCTTCAATGCTTAGATGTTGTTGTCAAAGATAACGGGTTCTTTCAGTGGTTCAAGGTTGTTTTCAAGTGAACAAGGCAACAAACAGGGTTGAAACGACTGAAATGATTAAACTCTGAATATCTCTGTCCTTATACTGATGACATGCCAGACTGCCGCCCATCAGCAGTGAAGCCAGGGGGCGCAGTCAATCGCAGATGTGCATTGTCACCTGCCGTGGGACTCTGGCCTCACATGGGTCCCCCTCTCCTCCTGAGTTGGGTTGGCATGGGTCTGTGTGCCAATCTGTGACAATAAATGGATTGTGACATGTGACACTGACAGATGTGTAGTTTATTGTAACTAGTCTTGTAAGTTCAGTTGTAGTTAATTTCATGTACTTACCAGGACTAAAACATGTCTGACTTGCCCTTACATGCTGACAGGATGCCAGAGATGAGGGTTTCTACGGTGGCCAACAAGGGCAAACGGCAAAACGTTTCAAACACGGGAATGATGTAAATCCAAAAACACACAAACACATAAAACAAATCCAACAGAAAAACGCAGCAACAGAAAAATGCTGCAATCACAGAAACGAAGCAGAAGCACAAACTTACAAACCCACAAAACAAATGCCAAAGACAAAATGCTGCAAATACCAAAAACACACAAAACCCCAAAACAACTGCCAGATAGAAACGCTGCATATTCGCTCGACAAAACGGAAGTGCGCCAGGCCACTAGTGGGACCCGACCTGAGGGATGGACCAGTCCTGTGGGACCAGACCCGAAAGAAGAAGAAGAAGAAGAAGAAGAAGAAGAAGAAGAAGAAAGTTGGCTACGTTTTGGAGAGGACAGTAAAAAGGTATGTTTTCCTTTATGTCTTTTTTAAACACTTGGCCGTGATCTTTTATAATATTATAATATTATAATTATATGATTTAATACTATTTAATATTATAGAAGAATATTATAATTATTATAATATTATATAATATTTTTATAATAATATAATATTATATTATTATAAAATATATTATAATTATATTATTATAATATTATATTATTGTAATATTATATTATAATAATATAATATTATAGAAGAATATTATAATAATATTATTCTTCTATAATATAATTATAATATTATAATATTATAAAAGATTACAGCCAAGTAAGTAAAAACTTACCTTTTTACTGTCCTCTCCAAAACGTAGCCAACTTTCTACTTCTTCTTCTTCTTCTTCTTCTTCTTCTTCTTCTTCTTCATGTCTTTCGGGTCTGGTCCCACAGGACTGGTCCATCCCTCAGGTCGGGTCCCCCTAGTGGCCTGGCGCACTTCCGTTTTTTGAAGCGAATGTGCAGCGTTTCTATCTGGCCGTTGTTTTGGGGTTTTGTGTGTTTTTGATATTTGCAGCATTTTTCTTTGGCATTTGTTTTGTGGGTTTGTAAATTTTTGCTTCTGCTTCGTTTCTGTGATTGCAGCATTTTTCTGTTGCTGCGTTTTTCTGTTGGATTTGTTTTATGTGTTTGTGTGTTTTTGGATTTGCATCATTCCCGTGTTTGAAGTGTTTTGCCATTTGCGGCACGTTTGCCCTTGTCGGCCACTGTAGGTTTCTCCAATGATTGCAGTGACCCTTTCTTGATGTGGCATCAATTCTGGCTTCCTAAGCCCACACCTGTGGCAGCCAGGGTGCAAACATGGGAGCCGGGGGCGCTCCCCTAAAAACATGATAGATGAAATTTTGGGAGAGATTCACTTTAACAACGATACTGCTATTCTTACTAACACCACTGACTGGCTGTACAAAAACATTAACTTCAGAGTAAAAAAATATCAAAAAAGATACATAAAATAAACTTTTGTAGCCTAGTCAGTCTGTGTACCGAATCGCCATTATTTATTTGATCTATTTTCAGTAATCTGTATGTCAGTCCACCACCCGCAACAGCTAATAGATTGAGCTTCCCCGATAGCCTCAGTATAGTTTGCACTAGCAGCGACACTCTGTCGATGTGCAGTTGCTCATCTTTTGACATCCGCCTTGACATCTGACCACTTTTCTTTATTTTGTACGGTTGTACGGTTCTCTGAACTGGCTCCACTTGTTGCTTATTCCAGAGGACAGACCACCAAATACATTTTTGTTTTTTACTTCCACCTTAGTAATCAGCACCTCAATCTCACACTCAGTGAAGTTTTTTCCTTTTTTGCTTGTTTTGCAGCATGATCGGCCATTCTGATTTAGACATAAGATAACTGCAGGGGTGTATTCGTAGTCATTTGCTACAGTTAGTTAATTATGGGAAGAGGCTAGCCGGAGCAAGTGGCTCATTCATGTGCAGTCAATTTCACATTGATTGAGATGTTTAAAGGAAAGGTATGGCTTGTCCATATACGTGATGAGGGTCTAACTGAGTGAATCATTATGAAGTCATAAAAACTCCAGTAGTGAGTGTGATAGTGGGGGAGACTTTTTTCATTTCAGAGTCAGAATCACTTTTTAGGGCTGTCCCCTAATAGACTGTTGATGGAAGAGAAGAGTCTTAGTCAACTTTTTAACCCTTGCTGGTTGTTCTGACAAATTCAGAATCATTACAGCACTTGCTGTTATCATTTAACAGGTGGCTGTTAAAACATACATATTGAGATAATTAAATTAACATTATAAACGTTGCTGATCAATGGCTTGAACTAACAACTACTAGTTGACAAAGAAATTCTCTACCCACTTATTTTTCTGTTGATTACTCCATGCAGACAATTCAGTGATTATGTATTTTATCTATTATAAAGAGCCATCAAGAATTTGCAGCTCAGTTATTTCAAACTGGTCCACTGCTTTGCTCCCCTCTTTCTACATTTGAGGTACTTCATATTATTTAAAAAAAACTTATAAAAGTGAAAACAATAGTTTCCTACTATTAATCCACAGAATTAAACATGGACAGATAGCTTGCTACACTGGTATAATTTACAATTATGTATATATATATTATAATTATTTTAACAAAATTACTTGACAACTTGGACAAACATCAGAATGGAGTAAAACAATTAGTGAAACTTTTATTCATTTTTAAGGAAATGACCTACAAATAACACAACATAAGAATTGGTTTCAAGAAAACACACATCAGTGTAGAACATATGTTCAACAATACGTCAAGATCAAGTTGACATGGCTTTCATTGAGCCCGTCAGCATTGTAAATAGTTCAATAAAATCCCTCATAACACAGTATGATGCCTGGCATTAGCTTTGTGGAATGTGAATTGCGAGCCTTTGTTGTGCCGGTAGTGGGGCAGGTCAGCCTGTTTGGACTCTTTTTCTGGGTAGACGTACCACATGACAACACCTGAGGGATTGATGGAGAGTGTAAACTCTGAGGTGGCGTTCAACCCCCTCACAGTCGAGCCAGTAAACACATCATAGGCCTAAAAGCAAGAGAAGAGCATATTTAAGGATAATATATATATATATCTACACATAAAACAATATTTTTGGCAAACATTGATGCATAGTTTAATTTTGTGACATAAATTGAACAAAAATTTAACTATACATGAATGTTTGTCTGCAATGTTTCCTGTGCCACTGGCTGTAACACAACCATAATGGCCCAATTATGTTTTTAGTTTTTGTTCAATTTATGTCACAAAACTGAAAATATCTTTGAAATAAATGTCATTGATGGGACATTTTATGTTTGTATTAGGTGGTCAAATTATATGACATATTTACATCATGCTTCAGGCTTTAATTTATGTTCAGTATATTTTGAGTTTGTGTGATTTGGGCTGTATATGAAGTGCTTTAGCAAACAAGTCTATATACTTACTGTCACAACATAAGTAAAACAGTATCTGCTTCTACTGTTTGTTTGTTTTTTAGTTTTACTCCTCTGCTGTATCAACATGCTACATGCTGACTCTCGTGTTGCTTATTGAGGGAGTTTAGCTGGCTGTCTAATTTTTGTTAGAAAACCCCAGTAGGAGGAAAGTACAGTAAAAAGGCAAGTAACCAGCTGGTGCAACAACAACCACTGCAACAGATTAAACACAGTGTGTTGAAACTGCATTATGGATCCAGCCAAAGAGAATGACAGAACCTCTCAAGTCAGACACAGACTGGTGGTATCAGTCCTATAGTTAAGAAACTTCCACATGCCGTACAGGAAAAATGGATATATCATGACTGCCTCTTTCCTCCATTCATTTTCTTCAATAATATAAAAGATAAACCAGTCTAACGGACAGGTAGAATCCCAGTATGAGTCCACAAGACAGACATCTCCCCAGACATTAAACATGACACAAATATCTCTCCAAAACAAGTTGAGAATCCAGGAAAGAATTGTCCAATCCATTGTAAACCACACCTATTAAGGAAGTGTCGTGGATTGAGAGCAATCTCCCATTTAGCTAAGGACTATAAAGTCTCTGTGAAATGCATCAAGTGTGGTAGTGATCAACATATAACGGCTATGCATCCTGGTCCAGCATCTCTGGCATCTAAAGTTCCAACTCCGGCACCAGAGCACAACGAGGAGGGAGAAGATCTTATGTCTATATCTATTATCACCTCCAACTGCACCGAGATTTGTGATGAAAGGCAGCCAGCAATGTCCTGCTCTAAAACATGCCTGGTTCGAGTATTTCCCCAAGGCCATCACAGTGTTTCCTCTATGTTGATCTTGGAGCAGCAGCACGCCGCTGTTAAATTTCTGCCGCCACGGTATCTGAAATGGGGCAGGCGCACAATGTAGTCACGGTTGCCTTTTAAATGATCCTGCCGACATAATGCACCCCCGTTGGCTGCCGCTCACATTGCAATTTGCCACCACTGCTAAAAAAAATCCTAGAGGAAACACTGCATCAATATATATGCCATGACCAGAGCAACCGCTCTATGGCAAAGCCAGAATTGTTCGAGCTATTTGATGTCAAGAGCCACTTCTCTCCTTACTCATTAAGAACATGTACTGGAGTCATCGACATGTCAGGCAGAAAGGTGGAGGGATTTCAGATTGAGCCACTGAATGGAGGAGCTACCTTCACATTCCTTGATCCTAACGCCCAAATTTTTTTTGCTAGGGAGAGACATTATAAGGCCCCCTTTTCCCAAAGATTGGATTTGGGCTGGGTTGTGGTTGGGGAAGTATGCCTTGCAAACACCCACAAGTCTAACGTGAGCACCTTCAAAACCCACGTGTTGAATGGACGCCCTTCTTACTAGACACCCTGCAATAGTATCATGAACCTGAAAGAAAGAGTGTGTCATGGACACAAATCTAATGTGGAGAGAGTTACAGAGCATAACCTGGGTCACAGTGTTTTAAAACAACTGAAAACAACAACAAGCTTGCACTATCCATTGAAGATACAGACTTTCTAAGGATTATGAAAGCAGAGGTGTACAGGGATGAGAAAAACAACTGGGTTGCTCCACTTCCCTTCAGGGTGCCACAAAGATGGCTCCCAAACAACCGCAAGCAAGCACTCACTCGCCTTGCTTCACTGTGTTGAACCGTCGACAGGAAACCTGCAATGAAGCAAAAGTTCATAGCCTTCATGGAAAAGGTTTTTGAGGATTATCATGCAGAGCCAGCCCCCCCTCTGATGGAAGATGAGGAGTGCTGGTACCTGCCAACATTTGGTGTCTACCACCCTCAAAAACCAAATCAAATTAGGGTGGTGTTCAATTCCAGTGCAGAGGAAGACAGAGTATCCCTTAACAATGTGCTGTTGACGGGCCCTGACCTCAACAGTAGCCTGTTGGGAGTCCTTATCCATTTCTGGAGAGAGCAAGTGGCAATCATGGCAGATATTCAAAAAGAATTCCACTGCTTTCTTTTCTGAGACTACCACTGCAACTTCCCGAGGTTCTTGTGGTCCAGGAATAATGATCCAACAAAGGACATTGTTGAGAACAGGATGAAAGTCTGTGTTTTCAGCAATAGCCTTTACCTTGAATTGCCATCTGAGCTTAGACTTGCTGCAAAAGAGGGCAAACATGAACATGGTACAAATACACAAGAGTTTGTAGAGAGGCACTTCTACATGGACAACAGGCTCATGTCCCTGCCCACTGACACAGTGGCTATCAGTCTCCTCTAGAGGACCCAAGCATCTCTCGCTGAGTCAAACCTCCGCCTTCACAAGAGACAGCCCAGCAGTAATTAACACTTTCCCACCAGAGGATCATGCTCAAGGCAAAAAATATGACCTTAGTGAGGAAATCTTAAGAACATTCATTTGGGGTCAGTGAGCTCAAGGCATTCACTCACGTGGGATCCTTCACCATAATAGTGATCCCCTTGGTCTGGCCTCTCCAGTCACTGTACAAGGAAGTGTTCTACTGCGGGAACTCACCAGTGACACATCCAATTGGGATGCCCCACTGCCAGGGGAGAAACGGTAGTCTGGCGAGACGCACTCCAGGAGTTGAAGCAGCTGCATATCCCACGCACCTACACACCAGAATCCCTCTCTAAGGCAACAGGCACAGAACTGTGTGTGTTTTCTGATGCCTCTACCTAGACTATTGGTTCAGTGGCTTACCTCAGGGTCATTGGCAAAAATGGAATGTGCGTAGGTTGGCTTCATCCTAAGAAAAGCCAAGCTAGCTCCTATTAAGCCCAATGAGCCCTATTAAATGTCCAACCAGAGAGAAAAACATACTGGATCACTGTTACAATACAGTCAGCAGAGCTTATCACGCCGTCCCCCGCGCCTGACTGGGCCTCTCTGACCACGTCATGGTCCACCTGATTCCTTCATACAGGCAGAAATTAAAACTCTGTAAACCTGACATTAAAGCAGTGGTCCAGTGAAGCTGCAGATGATCTCCAGGCGTGTTTGGACTCTACAGACTGGGATGTTTTCAGGACTGCTACTGAAAGTCTGGATGAGTACACAGAGGCTGTGACATCATACATCAGCTTCTGTGAGGACTGCTGTATACCATCACGCACCAGGGTGAGTTTTAACAACGACAAACTCTGGTTTACAGCCAAACTCAGACAGTTACGATTGCAGAAGGCGCAAGCGTTTAGGAGTGGAGACAGGCACAAGTTTAAGGAGTCTAGGTACAAGTTTAGGAAGGCGATGAGAGAAGCTAAACGACAGTACTCTGAGAAACTTCAACATCAGTTCTCAGCCAACGACTCTGGTTCTGTCTGGAAGGGGCTCAGACAGATAACAAACTACAAGCCCAAAATCCCCCACTCCATCAACGACTTGCGCCTGGCAAATGATCTAAATGGGTTCTACTGCCGCTTCGCCAGACAAAGGAGCAGTCCTGACACCTTCCCCCGTGACACCCCTCAACAGCCCCACCTCACCAACATGGCCCTGCACTTCACCCTCCAGCATCTGGACTCCCCAGGAACCTACACCAGGATCCTGTTTGTGGACTTCAGCTCTTCGTTTAACACCATCATCCCAGCTCTGCTACAGGACAAGCTCTCCCAGCTCACTGTGCCTGACTCCACCTGCAAGTGGATCACTGACTTCCTGACTGACAGGAAACAGCACGTGATCTGGGGAAAAATGTCTCTGACTCCCAGACCATCAGCACCGGTTCCCCCCAAGGCTGCGTTCTTTCTCCTCTACTCTTGTCCCTGTACACCAACAGCTGCACCTCCAGTCACCAGTCCGTCAGGCTACTGAAGTTCGCGGATGACACCTCATTGGGCTCAGCTAAGGTGGAGATGAGTCCGCCTACAGCTGGGAGATTGACCATCTGGTGACCTGGTGCAGCCAGAACAACCTGGAGCTAAAGCTCTAAAAACAGTGGAGATGGTTGTCAACTTTAGAAAGAACCCAGCCCCACCCGCCCCCATCATCCTGTGTGACTCCCCAGTTGACTCTGTGGAGTACTTCCGCTTCCTGGGTACCATCATCACCCAGGACCTCAAGTGGGAGGTGAACATCAGCTCCCTCACCAAGAAAGCCCAGCAGAGGATGTACTTCCTGCGTCAGCTGGGGAAGTTCAACCTGCCAAAGACGATAATGGTGCACTTCTACACCGCCATCATCGAGTCCATCCTCACCTCATCCATCACCATCTGGTACGCTGCTGCCACTGCCAAGGACAAGGGCAGACTGCAGCACATCATTCGTTCCGCTGAGAAGGTGATCGGCTGCAATCTGCCATCCCTCCAGGACCTGTACGTCTCTAGGACCCTAAGGCATGCAGGCAAGATTGTGGCTGACCCCTCCCACCCCGGCCACAAACTCTTTGACCCTCTCCCCTCTGGCAGGAGGCTACGGTCCATCAGGACCAAAACCTCTCGCCACAAAAACAGTTTCTTCCCGTCTGCAGCTGGCTTCATCAACAAGGCCCCGACCTCCCACTGTCACTGACTCTTATACCCATCCTGTATATATGCATTACATTAATGCACTCCCGTCTTCTGTACAGTTTTCCTATCTTTTCTTATCTTTCTTATCTTTATTTATCTATATATTTTTTTAAACGTACTTTATTCTTGTGTGATTTTTGTGTGACTTGTATATTTTTGTGTGATTTATATATTTATCTTTTTATTTTTTGTGTGATTGTATATTTTAAGCACCATTGCACCAAGACAAATTCCTTGTATGTGTAAAAATCTACCTGGCAATAAATCTCATTCTGATTCTGTAATACAATACAATACAATATTAGGTACCTCTTTCTCCAGCAGGCTCCCCTTCAACATGCCAGGACATCTTTTAGCCTATCTTGCTTTGACCCAGTGTTTGTTTTGCAAGTACTTAAACAGGTTATGTTGAGGCAGCTTGTATTTACAGGACAATTGCTCAAAACTAGAGAATATATCTTCTGTGTATAGGTCCCCAATTATTTGAATGCCTTTATCAACCCAATTTTTAAGTGTACTGTCTGCGAAGATGAATTCACAGGGTAATAGTGTTCAGACCTCATAGTTGCCAGCATCATAGTTGAGTTTAGCCAAGGAGGTGTGGTAGAGGTAGGGCATGTCTGTCCGACGACTCAGGAACACAAGGGCACTGGCTGAATGAGATAGAGGCCTCCAGTAAACCTCAATCCGACTCTTCTCCTGTGCAACAACACAACATAAAATATAAGCCTGCTCTTCAAAGACCTTCCTTGATTTCATTTTTTATCACATATGTCTAGCGAAATACAGTATCTGGCCTAACAATGTATTTTTGGGTGTTGATGGCATTTCCTGAGAAACAATAAAGATTCTGCACTCTGCACTCAGAGGCATTAGGGGTGCACGATAATTATCGGGCTGATAACAGGAAATTATTACGTCATTCCGATATCATGACGAATAACATATATAATTTTGTCAGCACGGCAGTGCCCCGCTCCCACTATGAGACCTGAATGGCCTGCAGTGAATGCTGCGTTCAAGTGACATTGGCATAATCAGAAAAACTCTTTCTGACTGGGAAAATTCAAGAGTACCCCCTCATGTCGAAAATAACTCGTTAACTCTGTCATAATTTTGGTAGTTGCTGACTTGAAGTGATATCCACAGTATTTTTCCATGTTACACATAAACAATAGAAACACGAACTTAAAAAGGCCAAAAGAACGACTAGCAAACGTGGGAACAGGGAATTACCGTCACACCGCGAATGCAGCAGAGCGTGCTTACGTTTGAAAACAGACAACATGGCGTCGTTATCGTTTCGGTTTTAAAAAAAGTTATCGTGCATCCCTAGCATACACTAATTCTGCATCCAATGAAATGCTTTCTTTATGTGTCACTGGAACATGTTTCTGAGGGACCATGTATTACAGACAAATATACCCTGGCCTCACTGACTTTATTATGTGATTTTGGTGAAACCGGATCATATTTTATAAAGAAAATATTTTCTGGTTTTCCCTCTGATGTCCTCCAGCTGCTCAGCTTCAGCTCCCTGTGATTTACAGAGTTCTAACTGTAACTGATGATGACCTGCAAGAGGCGTCTTCCCTGGATACCCAAGGGGTCCTGGTTGATGGCAATGGCCACTTTGTTTTGCAGGATTGCTCTCTCGATGTTGCCCAGGTTTCGAAGGTCATTAGACATGATGAGAGGGGCAGCCATTATTGCCCACAGAGCCATCTGAGAGCGAGCCTGGTCCACACTGAGACCAAAGTTTCCAATGATGAGCTGAGGAGAGATATTAGAGAACATTACAGTGGAAAAACTGTTTTCAAATGTGACCACATCATAGTGGACATGTCTACATTCAAAAAACAAGTTACCTGTGTACCTTATGACCGTATATGAGTCAAGGTTTGCTTGCGATTGGGTAGTTTGAACCGAAACAAACTAAATACAACTGGAATTACCGCCCCGTGGTTGTATGCCTCCGCCAACGAGTCAAGTTCCAATTTAAATCCATATCTGTCCTGACTCATATAAGGAAAGAATTATAGAAAAAAAGGTATAAAGTGTTTTTCATGGTACCTATGTATGATTCCAGCAAATATGCATTTTTTAACTGATTAAAAGACCAGTGAATAGAATTTAGCATCACCAATTCAGTGTCCATTAAACATCTGTGTGATGCGTTGACTGCATTTATTCTTGTGTTATGATCAAAAACATATTTATCAAGGTCATTTTGAGCTAACGGTGACCTTTGAACTTTGAGTGAAAAGTTTCACCAATTAATTGTCTGACCATTTGTAAAATATGGTCATCAATCAAGCTAGGGCCAAAAATGTGTTTTGTGATGTTACAGTGGCCTTTGACCTAGTCTAATCATTTCATCCTTGAGTACAAGTGGACATTTGTGCCAAATTTGAAGAGGCGTTCCTGAGATATTGGGCTCACAAGAATGGGACAGATGGATGGACAATCTGAAAACATGATGCCTCCAGCCAGTGCTATTCTGATTACCTGAATGATTAGTTGTGTAATGTCTTAAGGTATATGATCAAATAATAAAACAAATGCATCATACCATGTCAGGGTCATTCCATCGTCCAGGCCCTGAAGCCGGCTGCAGATCATCCTGGTTGTTGGAGAACCACTCAACAATGCCTTGCAAACTGTCCCATGAGTCCTGGATATCATAGTAATTCCTCCACAGGTGACAAATTTCCCCCAGCAGAGAGTAGTTCACCTGGTAAAAACAGGGAAACAGACTGTTAACCCCACACCATATCCCCGGGAAATAAACGCCTCATATAACACACCCAAAGTGATGAAACTTTGATAGGTAAGAAGCTAAGAAATGTGAATCCATTGTAAATGAACCTATTCCAGAGTAAATGAAAATACAATAAAGGGAAAATAAGATTTTCCTCCTCACCTATTATAAGATCTAAAAGGTCCATTATAATCAAGATAATATTGATAATAATGCAACTGAAGGTCTTCTCCCACTGTAACTGTAGATTCATGAGAAAATCTATGAAGACACACTCTGGTGGTCTTTATGTTTCGTATCATATAGCCATGTTATATACATGAATCTGAACATTGAAAAACTAACAAACACAATGATATTGATCAATATCTATATATGACTGAAAATGGCTATATAGGCTGATAAATATAGAGCACAAGGCACTAGAATGATGAAACAAGTAAGTATCACCAGATTCATCTCATTTAGGAGTATTTCAGTGTTGTTTAGTTTTTTACTGCCAGTATGTCAATGCAGCCACCAGATGGTGACAAAGAGCCACAGTCTCCACTGTAGTGATTCAATCTGACTGGAGTAACATGCCAGCTGAAATCCCTTTGATGGTCACTGTGACTCTCCGTTGATCTAAAGTTGCGCACAGAAAAGTAACTAAAATCTGCCATTTAAAAAAAATAATAATAATAAAAAATATACCATTCAGCCTTGGTGAAACATCGTGGCAAGAGCATAGAATTATGTCAGTGTGACTGTAAAAGGTTGACTAGATATTTCACCCTGAGGTGTGTTTAGTGTATTAGAAGGAAGTATTAAAATTTCCCAGCGATACCATGTATGTTATTGTGGACTGATAAGAAAAATTATTAACAAAACAAGCAAAAATTCAGTCTTGTTTTCAGTCTTGTGCCAGTCCACTAATTCAGCTCAACCCTAACCCAAAACCCAACATGACCCTAACCCTAATTCTTTGTCATTTTGTATCCTTTTTAGTTCTGTTTTCTTTTGCGTTAAACCATCTACATGTTTACAAAGAGACCCAGTTGTTTAGGAGTACCTAATCAGCACTGCTGTATGCAGGATTTTAGAAATACAGAGTTCCAAAAACTGAAATTGATAGGGGTTATTTTTAGACAATTATTTCCTGGATTTTTATTGTATACCCCGTGGTAAAAATACTGACTCACTGACATGAGCTGGCTATGGCCATGCTAACCAGAGGTGGCAGTACTCAATAATAAGTAAAGGTACTCATGTGGACAAAAATCAGATGTGCTGGTACTCAGTACTGCCAAGGCCCATTTCAGGAAGTGCCAATGACCAAAAAACCTTTACAGTGATGTAGAGATGACACTCACAGCAGGTGGAAGTCCTCCCACATAGACGGGCCAACTACAGGAGTAGGCTATAGGTCTGCCTGTAGCATTCAAAGCCTTGGACATCAGAGGGTAACCTGTGTGACACAAGAAAAAATAGCTTCTTGTACTAAAGAATGTTAATGATTTCATTCCATGCAATTCAGTAGGTTAGTAGATGCTCTTACCCAGCATTTGTTCTAAAGGATTTGAGTAACAGCTGTCAAACTTCAGATAGTCTACCCCCCAGCTAGCAAAGGTCTGGGCATCTAGCTCAATTTTGTCCAGTGTGGTGCCAGGAAATCCCATACATGTGTGAGTGCCCATGTCTGCATAGATGCCCAGCTTCAGCCCACGGTCATGGATATACCTCGCCAGTTTTCCAATGCCCCCTGGAAACCTGGAGGAAAGCAAGAACACACTTACTTACTTTAGAAGGAGAAACAAAAATACGACCCCATAGTATAAAGAGGTTTCAGTTACAAATGCCCTACTTACATTTAAGAAACCGACTGCAAGCATTTTGGTTTTATCACGCTAGATAAATATCAAGGTAAGCCACAACAACACCACAAAAATAAGAACCCTTTCTGAATAACCTGTAGTCAAACTATTAACCCATAACACAGCGATTCCCAACCTGGGGGTTAAACCAATAAAGCTGAGGGTTTGCGAGCTGATTTAAGGGTTGGATACTCCATACCAAACTGGACATGGACAGCAAACAAGAAACTGCTTATGCTACATTGGGTGTCTGCATACTGGAAAGTGTAATCTAAAACCATGTCTGTGGGAATTCAGCCCATTGATGATGCCCAGTGAGAGGGCCTAGCTCACAATTGGTAAATGGTAAATGGACCTGTACTTGTATAGCACCTTCCAAACCACTCAAAGCGCTTTTACACTACATGCCACATTCACTCTTTCACACACATTCACACAGTGATGGCAAAGCCCATCGAACAGAAAGTAACTAATTCATTCACATTCACACACTGATGACGCAGCATCAGTAGATGTGTTTCAGTATCTTGCTCAAGGATACTTGGACATACATCAAGGAGGAGGAGCCGGGGATCAAAACAACAACTTTCCGAATGGTGGACGACCTGCTCTACCTCTGAGCCACAGCCACTCCTAATAATTAATTGGCAATCTGATGCTTCGCAAAGGGTTCAATGCAGTTGAGGTATGTACAAGCTAACTGGGTTCCTCCACACCAAACTAATCTAAATCTAAAACTAATAAATGTCTTTATGGACCACACTTTGAGCAGTCATGCTGAAACAGCAAAGGGCCCTCCCCAGACACTTGTTATATAGTTGGAAGCGCCCAATTAGCTAAAATGTCTGCGTATCCTGTAACATTAGGGAAACCCTTCACAAGAACTAAGGGGCCATGAAAACCCTTACCCTTACTTACTTAGTAGGCACTATGTATTTTGGTAGGTAGCGTTCTTCTACCGAACGGGGGATGGGGGAGCCTATGTAAGACCTTAAAGATGAGGCAAGCATCTGCAAAATGTTTCAAACTATTTAATAAACTGTACTTTTGTATTATAGCTATTGGCATTTCAGTCAAATGTTTACAAAGAGATTGGTTTCAGAGTTGCCACACTTGTTTGTCACCAGACGCAAAATTAGCCAGGTTGAATTTGTTTGTATTGGCTACCTTTTTAATATGTATGTAATATGTATGTATCTATTCCAGGGTATTTAAAACAAGACTCCACCTGAGCTTTTCTCCTTTAAAAAGTCTCCATTGTGCTTTCAAGGCAAATGATTGCACAATAGTGAACGTTTACAGAACAGTGAAGGAAGTAGACCAACCTGGAGGGTTCAGGCTGCAGCTTCCCTTGTTCATCTCTCAGTCTGGACATCCAGCAGTCGTCTATGATTACATACTCATAACCCAGCTCCTTCCAGCCGTCCTCAGCCAGCCGGTCAGCCATGTCTCTGAACAGAGTCTCGCTGTAGACAGGATGGACATGGAAAGAAAAGTGAGGACAGTTTATCAGCCATTCATGAAACACATTCATATACTTTTTTAAAAAGTCGAATTTCTTTATTCTTTGCATTTTTAATAAGATTTGAATAAAATAAAAGGGTATTTTGGGGGTGTAAATGACACAGTGGGTTAGTGGTTTGTTTTCTGGAAATACTTAATAATTAGCAAAACAAAAGAAAACTATCGTATCCCGAGATAATGAGAAAGTAAAGACTGGCTTGAGATAATGGGATACACAAACTGAAACCAGCCACCATCTTCTATCAGTCAATTCTAAATGTAACGCATTTTCAACATTAGACAGCACAACAGCAAAATAATAAATCTATATGGCTGTAAATCAGTGTTTGAAATTTTCCCTGCATTATGCTAATACATTCCCAGACAGGGTTTAGTAATTCTCCAAAAATCAACAGGACTAGCAATCATCATCTGTAAGTAAATCATATCACATCATCTCTATGCATTGGCTGTTTGCATGTTGATGTCTTACTAAACCCAGTATCTGCGGGCGTAAATATTCAACTTCCCATTCCAGTATTGTCAAAGTGACTATAAAATACTTCCTCAGCAGTCATGGTAAGGATTTTGTCTGACACTTGTCTCATGTTCAACTGCTTCAACACCAAAATCATGAAAAAGGAACCAAGTACTAGTGGTGTAAGAAAATCTATGTGCACCATTTGACACTAGAAGGATGTTTTCACATTCATCATATCATGTTCTTTATACTTTGACAGTTTTCCTGAAAGCAGACAAAAAAGAAATTGTTTTATATTGCCTGGCTTTTAGTATCGCAATAGTTTGAATCATAACCCCTGTATCGTGATACATATTTTATCAGATTCTTGCAAATAAAAAGCCTTTCTAAGTTCTTTTTTTTTAAAAACTGTCTATACCTGTATGTAGTCTGGTGTGCACACTCCTCAAGCACTTTAGCACAAAATTTGACAGAAAGCAAAATTAATTGTTTTAGCCCATATCTGGAGCAAAATATCCACAACTCTGACCGTATTCTCTTCATCACGCCCTTCAGTAATTGGTGGACACTGATCAGTTACTACCTCTGTCTCTCTTGTCAGTGATTAAGCCTTCAGTATCTTTGCTCATTATCCAAAATGAGCTGAATCATAGAAATTCCCCAGCTGATCATTGGTCTCCCCACCCCCAACCTCTCAGACCTCAACAATAAAGCCATTACACGCAGAGCACACAGTATAGCACACGACCCCAGCCACCCCCTCAACTCATCATTCATACTGCTACCATCTCAACGCAGATATAGGACTGTAAACGTGTTGCTATGGCAGGAGTTTTGTACCTTCTGCCATAGCATCTCTAAACAAGGCACCCCGGTAACCACCGTGGGTGGGTGCTATGCACAGGACAGGGAGGGGTGAATGTGCTAAATGTGCTGCATTAAGTGTTTATTCTTGTTGTTATGTTGCGGTGTCCCTATGTATCTTGTATCTATGTATGTACAGCAGGTAAAATAAGTATTGAACACGTCACCATTATTCTCAGTAAATATATTTCTAAAGGTGCTATTGACATGAAATTTTCACCAGATGTTGGTAACAACCCATGCGATCCACACATGCAAAGAAATCAAACCATAGATGTCCATAAATTAAGTTATGTGTAATAATGTGAAATGACACAGGGAAAAAGTATTGAACATGACGAAAGGGAGGTGCAAAAAGTAAGAAAGTAAGAAAGCAATCCTGCCACTTGTCAGTGCAAATTAATATCAGCTGGTTCAGTCCCGACTGATGGCCTATAAAAAGTGTCTCATCACCAAGGTGTCACACAAGAAACATCTCATGATGGGTAAAACCAAAGAGCTCTCTCAAGACCTTCGCAACCTTATTGTTACAAAACATACTGATGGCATTGGTTACAGAAGGATTTCTAAACTCCTGAATGTTCCAGTGAGCACTGTTGGGGCCATAATCCGAAAGTGGAAAGAATATCATTTCACCATAAACCAGCCACGACTAGGTGCTCCTCGCAAGGAGTGAAAAGAATTATCAGAGGAGTTGTCCAAGAGCCAAGGACCACATGTGGAGAGCTTCAGAAAGACCTTGAATTAGCAGGTACAATTGTTTCAAAGAAAACAATAAGTAATGCACTCAACCGCCATGGCCTGTATGCACGCTCATCGCGCAAGACTCCATTGCTGAAGAAAGAGGGGTGTGATGCATATGCGCATGTGTAATTGTCCATGGGTGCGTGTGTGCACATAAGCCTGGAGAGTCGCTTCATCTAGCCTCTCAATGAAGATGAATCAAGAAGATGAAACGAGCGTGGACATTTCAGCAAGACAATGATGCCAAACACACAGCCAAGGAAACTCTCAACTGGTTTCATAGAAAGAAAATAAAGCTGCTAGAATGGCCCAGCCAATCACCTGACTTGAATCCAATATAAAATCTATGGAAAGAACTAAAGATCAGAGTTCATAGAAGAGGCCCACGGAAACTTCAAGATTTGAAGACTGTTTGTGCGGAAGAACGGGCCAAAATCACACGTGAGCAATGCATGCGACTAGTTTCTCCATACAGGAGGCATCTTGAAGCTGTCATTACCAACAAAGGCTTTTGTACTTAGTATTAAATAAATTTCAGTAAGCGTGTTCAATACTTTTTCCCTGTGTCATTCCATTTTATTACACATAACTTTAATTTCTGAAATTATTTATTTTGGTTTCTTTGCATGTGTGGATTGCATTCAATACTTTTTACCCGCTAAGCTACATACAGACTGTGGTGACAAATTTCCTGTGAAGAACATTAAAAAGTACCTATCTATCTATTACTGATCGTACCTGATGCAGTTCTCTGGGTCATCAGAACAGTCAATGTCACAGCGAAAACGCTCCCAGGCCATCCATCCCATAGGTGGAGTCTTCAGCAATCCATTGTCCAGGGCCACAGTCAGTGAGATCAGGGCAAGGAGCTGGGTTACTGCTATGGGCCCCATTTTTCTAAAAGAAGAAATGTCCAAATGAAAGATTTACTTAACATTCACTGACATACACAAGCAATCCAGACAATTCTGTGGCTGACGCAAAGAGAAAACTGGGACGATAGCATGCCTCAGCCAAAAACACAGCCATGGTATTGTCCTTACGGACGGCCACAGCCTGAAGTAGCGAACTAAACAGTGGATGGGATGTGGATGTGTTTAAATATTTTTTATGAACAAATAGTTTTATTATGCCATATTTTATTGGGTGCTGAAGCCCCATCTGCACTAGTGATGGGAATTCCGGCTCTTTTTAGAGAGCCGGTTCTTTTGGCTCGACTCAATAAAAAGAGTCGGCTCTTTCGGGTCCCAAGTGGCTCCTCAGATTTTTTTGTGTAAAACAAATTACTAATGTAAATACATGCATTATATCAAATGTTTATTATTTATCTGGATTTATTAATATACTCAACATGGAACAGAGTGCTACAAAAATAAATTATAAAATACAAAAACAAAGAACCATCTCAATTAGACAAAAAGCTGCTCGATATGACATTTTTAACTGTGCACAGTCTACACTCATGAACTGTCTATCACATTCAAATGTGTCCAAACTTTACTGCATTACCTGTCACTCATTTTCCTCACCTTTCCAGTGTGTAGTCTCTGTCTATGTAGCACCAAGTTCCCCCCCAACCCGCACCCACCCTTACGTCAGGAATTAATGGCCACCAGGCAGCCAATCAGAATCCAGTATTCACCCAGACCATGGGGTATAAATGAAATGACTTTATTAGCAGCTCTTTAATATGATCATTATCTCTACCCTCATATGTCTTGTCTCTTTATTATAACAGGAATTATGTTTAATTCTGTATCTTGGTCAGAGAGATAATGAAAGAACACTCAAGCAGCAGAGATCCTCACACACACTCACACAAACAACAGTAATACAAGTCTATTCAAGATTTTTTCTAAACATTGTGAGCAATAAATATTGTGAGAATGACGGTCTCTGTTTACCTGAAGCTTCAGCATGCACACGGCTGATCTGTGTCACTCTTGTTGTTGCAGGCAAATGACTGCACTCTCTTCTTCCTGGACTTTCCCCTCAGCTGCAACGTCTATCTCTTCCTGGTAAGGTAAGCTGTCATGTGACTGTTCTGCGTCACATGATAAACCAGGAAGCATGTTGAATAGGCAGACAAATGGCACTGGTGATATGTTGTGTTGTATATTCTTGTGTTGTAAATTGCATTTTTTAACTTTTGTCACTTTCACTTGTTTGTATTCAATATTTTTGTTGTTGTTTTTGTTGTTTCTGCAGTCAATATGCTGTTGGTGTTGGTTTGAAAGGATGACAAGAAATAAATACATAATGAAGTCATGCTTTCAAGAAACAATACATCTGTTTTCTGCTCTAATAAAAAACCCAAACTGAGAAGGAGTCGTGTTGGAAACAGTTTGAATTCCTTTGTATCTTACAGTTGGATTATCTTTTTCTTCATCTGGAGGCTCAGACATGTACCATGGAATACAGGTTTTGCCACTTTCTGCCACACACTCCTCATCACGTGTTGGCAATACTGCCATAAATCTATCATATCTCATTCCTATACAGGTTCCCTGAATGTGCCTGAGAGAAACTGAACTTCCTGAAGCTGAAACTTAAGAGGAAACACATACACCTTTCACTGATTGCATTATACATTCTGTTTTTCATCCAAAATACTAAATCTAATGTGAAAAGTCACTTGGCTGAACTGACCAGAATCTTGTGCAGGGGTGGCACTTGCATTATTAAATTGAATTAATAAAGATTATCACACAGTCGGCCCACGGGTACAGACATGTAAAAATACAAAAAAACGTATAGCACTTTTTAGAGGACTGCTGAGGTTATTTCACTATACTTTTGCTTAGAAATGCATAATAATATTCATTATTGAAGGATCAAAGAAATACACAAAAGAACAATTCCCAATGCAGGTCAAAGTGAGTTCCTTTAATGGGTGGCATTTTTCTTTAACTGACAGAATCCATTAGCTCATACTAAAACATAGTAAACAAACTCAAAACAGAATAAAAAGGCGTATTTCTTCTTGTTCAGACATCAGTTTGGTTCTCATATGATGTTCCCAAGACATATTGTCAACTTCAGTATAAAAACATGAAATATTTTACAACAAACATTTCTTTCACTTTGTGTTAAATGTACACCATTGTCCATTTTCACCCTTGTGTCCTCTCTTTGAGCTGATTCTAAAGCGTCACAAGCTGCTTCACTAGAGGTACATTAATTCAAATAAAGTATGTAGCGCTTACCAGTGCAACAGTGTGGCTCATTAATGTGTTTTTAATAGTTTTTGGACAACAATGGAGCTCTATGGCACAGAAAATATAAATAATCACCACACTTATCCTTTAAAGTAGAGTAACTTTAACAGGTTACCAGGACAAATGACAACCCAGTCTCACTTTAGAGTTGTCAAATACTGCAGCTTGGTCAGTGGCCCTCTGCTTTAAAATTATGACACTGTAGGTACCCTACGAGTGTCATTTGTGGAAGCGACTGCCATCAATTCAATTCAATTTTAATTCAGTTTTATTTGCATAGTGCCAATTCAATCACAAACAGTGTCTTGGGACACTTTTTTAAATAGAGCAGGTCTAAACCAACAGTTCCCACCATGAGCAACAGGTCTTTTTTATTATGTTAAAATGGATTGGTCATAGCGAAGACATAGGCCACAGGCACCTGCAGTCCAATGTTAACAATATGCCATTTTCCAACCCCCAGTGCTCCTATAACCAACCCTGCTATTGTTCCCAGAGTTCCTTGCCATGAGGACCACCTTCCAGCCACAGCCGCCGCTGCTCCCACAGACACCCCCGCTGCTCCTACCACCCCCAGCAGTGCCCCAGCTTTACCTCCTCCTCCCAGCACCGGGGCGAAAACCTCTACCCCAGCCAGTAAACCCAGTGCCACAAGGGCCGCTCCAGCTATGACTTTCACCTCTCCGGCTGCTCGCCTCACCAGCGGCCCCCCCACCGTAGCCCCCAAACCCAGCTCACATAGTTTTGCCACGAAGAAAGCTGCATTCAGAGCTTCAAGAGAGGACTGGTGGTTCATACGAGCAGTGATGTTTTCTCTTGACTGACCCTGCCCCGCTGCTCTCATCTTCATGGCGGTTGTTACGACCACCTGGCCAGCGTGCAGTGTGAGCATGGCGATGACAAACGTTGTGAGCATTCCCATGCACCCGACCAACATCCAGAACTTAAAGTCAGATGAGTTCAGCAGCAAATAGGCTATGACTCCAACCAATGCCAGAAGTACTATAAACACAGACTGGTGGCCTCCGTAACCAAACACCCCAAACCCTGATGTTACTATGGCAACTACTGTCATTGGTATCCCTGAGAAAGCCAAGAAGTCCACATATTTGACCACCACGGTGTTGATCCAGTCTTGGATGGTTCTTTGCTTTATCTCTGCCTCCTCACTCTCCATCTTCTGCCTCTCCATCTCCACTCTCTGCCTTTGCTCCGTGGTCCACAGTGTTCTCTGCTCTGTCCCGCTGATGCTGCCTCCCTTCTCCAACATCAGGATCCTCTGCTCTATCTCCACAGCCACTCTCTGTCTCTGCTGTGACTCTATGATCTCAATTTGTTCCCTCTCCCTGGCCCTGAATGTAGGTCCCAGAGTGCAATAGGACTCTCCCTGCTTCCAGAGGAGCTTAAATACAAAGTGCAGGGGCGGTTTGAGCACGGTGAATATGCTCAGTGCATACAGGAGGCCCATCATGCTGTAATTCTTCACAATCCATTCGATAGCAACCCCGAGTGTGGCTCCACTGAGAGTGGTCCCGAAGGCCCCAGCAAGTCCTGCCGATGCCCACAAGCCAACAGAGTTTATGTGGGAGGCACCGCAGCTCTTAGTGGCCACAAACACTGAAGCTACCGCTGCTGCCAGAATCACACCAGCTACAACTGAGGTCATTGCTGTGGTCAGTGCTGTGGCTCCAATAAGGGCCCCCAGCCCCAGAGCACCAACTTTCCTGGCTTCCTCCATCACTGGTTTCAGTGAATCGGCTGTAGTCATCACTGACAGGGTCTCGTCCACTGGGTCCTCTGTGGCTCCCAGTATGCAGCCTGCCACAGCTCCCAGTGCAAAGCCCACAGCTGCCTCCATTAGAGGGCTCCTAGCTCCTGGAACATGACAACAACACAACTGTTAACCACTTAGGAAATATAATTTCATGTGATGCCCTACTTTACTTGGTTTCTCTTTTAAAGGTTGTCTAATTTAGTTTTCTTTTGGGCTGAATTTTACTTTATGGATATTTTGCTAACTTTTAGCATGATGTATTGTTTTAGGCTATGTACTTAATATTTACTTAAAGCTGCAGTACATAACTTACTTAAAAATAACCTTTTGTCATATTTGCTGAAACATGTACTATATCCTGACAGTAGTTCATGAGATAGATAATATGTGAACAAAAGGTTCCTCTGGCTCCTACTAGTGCTCCTTATGGCATTCGCAAGAATCTACCGGGCCTGAACAAGAACAACCAATCAGAGCTGACAATCAACCAACCACCAACCCAAAGCATGTTTCTATCTTTCTTGGCTCTGATTGGTTGTTTTTGGTCAGGTCCAGTGGATTTAGCCACTTCCACAAACTCCAGACCTAAACCAGTGCCTTGGTCATGAGCCTTATGATGCCAATTTTTTGCCACAGATCAAGCTTACCGGTAAAACAAGCAGCATTGGTGGGAAACGTGCCAGGTCAGGGTGTAACATAGGATGTACAAATTGATGAAATGTTTTAAGAAAAAACATATTTGTTGTGTAATGGCAACACAAAAATCACTGTAGGCCTACAATAAGGACAAATGAAAATAACTCTTATTCATTCACATCATTTTTTGTCAAAGCCACAGGGACCCACTGGAGAGGGCTGAAGAGCTGCTCTGGAGCTACAGGTTGCCTACCCCTGTCATAGCAGTATTTTGTATTTTATTTTGATACATGTGATGAGCAAGTATTTGTAATATGTAACAAGAAACTTTTTGATGTATTTGTGCCAATCTCTGGTGCAGATGCGTCTTGCTGCAACTTTGTTGTTGCACAGTCTTGGACCTTTTAGTTTTTACTCTTTCTTTGCTCTGCAGGACTACACTGTGGTCTTGTCTTCCAACCACTCAAAGCCCTTTACCTTACATGACACATTCACTCATTCATGTACATTGATACACTGATGGCAGAGGCTGCCATGCTGGGTCATCAGAAACTAAACCATTCACAAACTAATGGGTCTGCCAATATGGGGTTTAGTATTTTGCCCAAGTACATGCAGCAGGAGCCAGGTATTGAACCTTCAACCTTCTGATTAGTGGATGACCCACTCTACCTCCGGAGCCACAGCTGCAAAGCTTCACATTTTTGTGTTAAATGATATATATGACTAGAATTCCTATTTATTCATTTAAATGTACAAGTTCATGACATTCTGTTGAGATATGTGAGTCCAGTCACTATGCTTGTGATGCATGGTGAGCCTGCAGTCAGAGACTCAGCAGACTGGTTGATCAGGTTTAACCAGCTGAGACAGCATGCTGCCATGATTCCTATCTGCTCACACTCTGCATGTGACTTAAACACTTAATGACGGGTGGATTGTAAAGGTAGAGAAAAGGAACAATAGACATAGTAAAGCTTTGAAGAGTTTCCATGCTATTACTGTAACCCTCCAAGGTTCAGTAACATTATACACTTGTACAGTTTACACAAGCAAAGCAGGCAACCATACATTGCAACTTTCAACCAGTAACACAGAAATGAATGAAAACACAGATTAATAAAGTCTAGAATGTCTTTACCCAGTTTTGTTGGTGCCATGTTGCTCTGAGATCTTCTTCCCCTGAAGTTATGTCAGGCTCTCTCCTGACCTGTGTCCTAAGTGAGGCTACAGCACCCTGTGAGTTATAGAATGCTTGAAAAGTGCTTTGTTTTCCCTGTTTATATGACACCAGCCCAAACAGGACACGCCCACTACTGGTTTTTCTCTTATGTATACTCTTTCCAGTTCATCCAGTCCTAATCCCCAGCATCTCTGCACTAGGCTGGTGTTCAGGTCACCATGTGAGACAGCATTCCAAAAGAGTAATTGTTCCACTTATGTCCTGAAGTTGAATCTTTTAAGTTAGAGCAGCTAGGCCCCAAATGAAGATATTTGAACTCACAAACATTACATTATTGTTTATTGTTTTGTTTGCGAATTGGCTCAGCCATGCCCCCTAAACTCAGCCCCAAGACACGTTTGACTGATACACGCATGTATCATGACGAGACAAAAAGGTCTCTTGCATCCATACCCCAAACCCAACAAAGTGGGGTATTTTGAATTCTGTGGTCATTTGATCAAATGAGTATTATCTTCAGACCTTAACAATTAAAAGTTGTGCTATTTGTGATTTTGAATGGAATAATTCATTATTTTACAGTTACAGGGCTGAACTCGAAGCGTTAGTGGGAGAACTACATTCTGAAGAATCCATTTTAAAAAGGACACTGCTAAATAAAGAGTGTTGTTTTGCATACATACAAAACTTTGATATATTGGTAGAAGTAAATTCTGAATTCATGAAAAGGTGACAACTTCATTAACATCCCACATGAGTGAACGCATCATTAATTGCCTTCACTATTGTTATTGTATTGGCCAGTGCAACTCCATAACGTCCTGCAGATCCCAGAGCAGCTGTCAGGAGTCCACCAGCTCCCAACACTGTTGCTCCCATCATCACCACACCAAGAATGGCAAAACTCAGAGCAGCATCCATTAACATACACACCCTGGTCTCCATACTGTTAATCAGCTCATGGGCAAAGGGCAAAGTCAAAGGTATGATGAGATTATTGAATGAGAGTAAATTATTGTCAACAGCCCGCAACAATATAAGAATCAGCACAGCGCCAGACCAAAGTTGACCTCGTGCTGACATGACAACAAGCCCCAGAGAGATCCCAGAGGCTGCAGCAAGGCCTGAAATCAGTCCTAATTCTCCTCCTGTGCCGAGACACCACTCAGCGAGACTGTGAAGGTTGAAGTGTGGAGTGTCTACATCTAGATAGTATAGGATCACACCTGCAGGGACAGAAATCCACAAAGACAGTGCTCGGTCTGTGTCCCAGAGGCTAGCTGACATCACACCTATAAGAGCACCAATCAGTCCAGTCAGCATCTCCACCGTATAGACCGCGGATCGAATGGTGTAAAAGGTATCGTAGTATAGTGGCACTTCTTTAGAGTAATTTTCAATCCCTAGTCCAAGCAGGAGTCCAGTCAGTGGTACCAGCAGCACAAAGCTGAGTGTTGTGTATGCAATGGGCTTCTTGAAGGCCAGCATGTCAGCTAGAAAGCCCATCAGAAATGCTGATGGGAGTACAAAGATCATGGCAAGATATAATCTTGGTTGATTAATATCAATGTTTTGACCTGACCAGACTCCAAGGAGCAACGTTATGAACGCCACAGTGGAGAAGGTGAGCATTCTTGCTGGAGTCGCCATTGTTTGCTGTTGTTTCTTATTCATGAGGAGTAAGTTGAGGCTCAGGATAAAGCCCATCAGACAGAGACCTTTCAGTCCCAGGGCCATCAGTGTGGTGGTGACCAATCCAAGGAGTGCTCCTGAAAGTCCACATCCCAGAAATATTGCCAGCCCTGCGCAGCCAGTCTCCAAGCAAGGTTCATTTCCCTTCCTTATCATCATAGCGGCACCGTATCCCATCACAATCCCACAGGCTACAGACAGGAAGGCCAGGCAGAGTCCAAGACACCCTAAGAGAGACGAAAATCCATCCAGACCTGCTACTTGGACAAGACGGTGAGCTTTAGGATACCTTGTCACAGCTGTCACCTGCACTGCTCTCTCTGCTGCCAGGTTTAGTGCAAAGCTTGCAGTAGTCACTTTTGCCACGCCCAGTATTACCTCTGTGGGACAGAAAGAAACAATTTTTACATTTCAGTTTAATTGGCTTTATTGGCATGACATCTTAAAACAAACATGTTGCCTAAGCAAAAAGTCTCATATAAAATGGTTTGGATTAGTTGGTCTTTTGGAAGGGTAAATAAAGTCTGTGATTTTGTAGTTGAATTTGAGAAAACTTTCAAAACTTTTAGAATTTCATCTCCTGTTTCAAAATGGGTACAGATTATCTTTGTTCTTTCTAGCTATTCTTTTTTATGGCGCCCAGTTTCAATAGCAAGTTTATGGTCACAAAGCTTATAGCATTATATCTCTGGTACTCCCAAAAACTAAATGACTTACCCATTCTTGTGGGTCGTTCTCACTCTGCCAGCACTTAGAACAACGACTTAGCACAAGTAAAACAAAAACTAAGTTGGTCAGAAGTCATGTGTATAGGGTGGAAAAGAAAGTGAAAGTTATTTCCAACCTTTATTTAAAGGAGCCTGACACACACCATGTGTTACACCTGGTGTCAAACATAGACTCCCTGATTCTACCATCATGTAATATATGCATGGTGAGGCAGGAGAAATGCCCCTGTGTTCAGAAAGGTAATTTAGAGTAATAAAACAAGGCACTGAGGTCACACTCACTGCTCATATGGGCATTAGGGGTAAGAGTGGACAAACTGGCCCAACAAGCTGTTCAGAAAGAAAACATAGACACCCTTTCAAAATCAGAGAGAAAGGGCATTGTATGGAGGAAAAGTAATAGAGTGGCAACAGCACTGGGATCAGCAGACAAGGGAAAGACATTCACATGTAGAATGAGTATTGTGAGAAATAGGGGAGGAAATAAGAGGAGCAACAATTACTATATTAACATTACTTACTTTTCTTATTGCAATTCTTTCTGGTGTGATACAAATGATTGACTAGAATTAAAAATATCTTCTCTCTCTCATTTTACCAGAAATGATATTACATTTGGAATCATCATGGAGGATATGAAAACTGAATTTCTTTTATACTTCATTTATTTTAGGTAAATTGGCATTGTTATCCATAAATGTAGGTGTATTAACTATTAGTGTGAGTATAACATAAATTGAATTAATTGTATTCATGTATTTAAAGGTCCATTATTACCACCTGGGCACCCTGGTAGTCATAATGTTCTGCAGCCCCATACACAACAAACTGTGATGCACTTTGTGTTCTGATACTTTTCTATCAGAACCAGCATTAACTTTCTGTTCTGTGTTATTCACTTCACCAGTCAGTGGTGATAATGTTATGGCAGATGGGTGTAATATTTATACGTATGTTTTCATTAGTGTATAATCACCTGAATATAGTAATTATTATGTTTCTGTTACCTTAGAATGAGCCGTTTTTGTCTTTAGATGCTGCAGATCGCCTTCCTTGGAGTCCGCCATGTTGAACTGCCATGTTTCTACAGTAGCCCAGAATGGACCACCCAAACACTGGCTGTCTGCCACTGTAGTTTCTCCTTTGCGTATTGGAAAGGGAGGATGAAGCGATGGAGTGGTAATCTGCAGTTAGACTGCTAGATGCCCCTGCTAGTCCTACACACTAGACCTTTAAATGTATTCAGACAAAACCTTTACTGGTGGTTTGTATGCACTATTTCAAATCACTTTACATTAAGTATGTGGGGGAAAAAACAGCCAAAAGAAACATTGAACATTATCTATCCCTTAGAATAAGAGACCTGTTAGCTATTTCATTCTGTTTTTAATTTTATTCTTTGACTTTCATTGGTTATAATCCTGTTTGCGTTGTGTACCATGTTCTTAAGAGCCTGTTGATGATGTATCACTTGCCATATACTATTGACTAGATTAAGAATAGGTCACAGCAATGCGACTATGGTATCAGAGAGGAAGGACGCGGTCTAACACGAGGAGCAAGATTGGGACAATCAACAATTGGGGATTTGGTCAGCTTCTCAAGGATGGCATGAGGGGGAAATGTGACACACCGAACACACGAAGAGTGAACGACCTCCACAAGGTGGCAGTAATGCAACAATAAGGCGCCTCAAAGCAGAAGAAGAAGAAGAGGCGGAACCTTCGTTGCTTGGTAGTAACTTGGTGCTTTACGGACCGCTTTTACTGAAACGTCATGATGGCAGCTGTGGTGAAAACACATGTGCGAATATCTGGTGAGTTTGAAATACACAGTTCAGTTGTGTTGGATCTGAACAAACACGATGAAGCTGTTTTAGATTTTTAGTCTAACTGATATTAGCCAGCTAACGCTAACGTTAGCTCCTGTGGTCTGCTCTATGTTAACCATAGCTATCCACAGCTAGCCAGCAGAGCTAACGGACTGAATGTAACGTTGTTGCTGTTCGGTGGAAAAAATAAGAAACGTAGTCTAACGTGGCGTTACTAGGTAACCAATGCCAGAGCAAGGAAAAGGACATTGCAATAATCTAGTTGCTAATGTGGCGAATGTACAAACGGAACGGAACGGAACGGAACAGCAACCCTGGTTCTCAAAGTAGTAAAAAGCCTTGAGGCTTATTACCGAGCAGGCTTTAACCTGTCTCACTGTGACATATTGGATACAGCTGTTTGGTCGTGTTTCCACACTACAGAACACGTGAGACAGGTTAACACACTGATACAGGAGCTGTGGAGGTACAGAAAGAAGCCAGGGAACGAACCGTGTTTCTTCCTGTGACCAGTGAACTCCTCTTTATCATGTTGTGCTTATATTTACTCAGACGGTTAAATGACAACAACAATGGGTGAAAACTAGAGCTGCACAATTAATCGAATTATTTTGTTGTTGATGAAGATAAACTGCTCGATAATGAAGGACTGTAGACACGCAGAGATCCTCTGATCTACAGATCTTGTCCTCCAGATGTAAGAAAACTAAAATTTGACATCATGATGATTTTAATAGTGTTTTTTCAATGGAAATGAAACTAAAAATGATCATTCCCATACAAATCATGAATAATATCGCAATATCTGTCAGTATAATTGCAATATAATGCTTGTACCATATCGTGCAGCCCTAGTATAAATCCACTACTTCCATTTCTGAGGAGCTCTGTAAACAAATTGAAAGCTGCAGATATTTCCCCCCCGAAATTAGCAAAGTGAATTTCAAAGTAAGAAATTATGAGTTGGGCTTTAGAGTTGAAAATGCATGGCAAGGCTGATAAGGGTCCTAGTTTAGTAGTTGTAAAAGAGGTTAAGTCTGAAAGAGTGAAACATTTGGACATTTAGAGACTAGTTTCCCTGGAACTGTATTTAAATGATTTGGTCGTCCTGGAAAACTCCAATTTTAGCCTGTGCTGTGGCCAAATTAATGTTACAGTGAGAGGAAAACCTCACGAGCAGAAACTCACTCAGTGTCCCTTTACATGCTGACCACCATTTATGAGCAAGTGCTATCCTGTATATTCAAGAAAAACTCCTGGAAAATGTCCTGGAAAGCAAGGAACTGTTTCAGCACCAATAAAGTGTTTCTGAATTAGCCCAAATAAAATAAATGAATAAAGGCTTCATCTTTTCGTGCATATGTCAGTAAATAAGTCTTTACATAATAATTTGTATTTGTGTGTGTAACTCAGGAGATGATGCAAAGCCTCAGTTTGAGGATGGAGATGACCTGAGTGATTCTGATGTAGGGAGCAATGAAGAAGCGAGTGATGGGGGAGAAGATGACGGAGACGGCAGCAGAGGGAGCAGCGGGGAAGAAGCAGAGAATGAAGAGGGAGGAGAGGACGAGGATGGAGACGACGGTAACGCAAATGCTGGGTGGGCAGAGGCAATGGCAAAGATCCTGGGAAAGAAAACTCCTGAGAACCAAAGCAGCATCCTGGTGAAGAACAAAGAGCTGGACAAGAAAAAAGAGAAGGAAAGACAGGAGCAGCTGGAGAGAAAGAAACAGGTCAACACGTCAAATTCTTTATTGGCTTGTCTGTCTGTGTATCCCACATAGTCCTAATGACCTCCTCCAAAACTGGATTTACAATACTGTTCTGTACCAAAGGTCCTGGAAAATGTTAATAGTATGTTAGCATCTCACTCAGATCACCTACATAGACCTATGTGCATATTTAGTTTGAAAGTCGACTGTTGCTAGGATACACTCCACAGTGTTTTGTGGCCTCCTCTGTCTTGGCTCTCTTCAAATGAATGAGAGTGTGTTTTTATCACACAGGGTTACTGTCTGTCTAAATGTGGCCTTAATGAGCACCTTCATTGGTCCAAAATTAGAGAAGCTAAAAGAAACCAAAGCAATAAGAGGTGGTGAAAGATTTTATATTGAACATGTATAAATGTTGTACAAGCTGCATTTGGGAAGCTAAAGGTGAGTATGTATTTGTGCCTCTGTCCAACAGGTGGACAAGAAGCGGGCGTGGGAGATGATGTGCAGAGAGAAACCGGACTTGGTGAAGGACCGTGAGAGTGAAAGAGCTCTACAAAGAATTGCTACCAGGTAGGGCTGTAACTGACAGTTATTTTTATTACCCATCTGTCCATTATTTTCTAGATTCATTGTGTATAAAATGTCTGAAAATAGGGGGAAATGTTTCTCATAGTCCAGGGTCACATTTTCATGTTTTGTCCAAAGCCCAAAGATATTCAATTGAATATGATATGAAACAGAGAAAAGCAGGCTGAAAACTGCATTTTCTGCCATTATGACAGATAGCAGATAGATCAAAACAGTTGGCTATTATTTTCCAGCAGTCCACTAATCAATTAACTGTTGCAGCTCTACAGCCAGATGTCTAAATCATTATTTTTTCCACAAGGCTTTGTTCCACATTCTCAGACGCAGGTGTCAGTGCTGATTCCAGTGTGTACTTTTCCGCTCAGGGGGGTGGTACAGCTCTTTAACGCTGTGAGGAAACACCAGAAAACAATCGATGACAAGGTGAAGGAAGTCGGCGGCTCTGAGAGGAAGAAGGCCAAGCTGCTTTCGTCTGTCTCAAAGAAAGACTTCATTGACGTGCTAAGAAGGACGGAGGGAGGCGGCGGAGTCTCCGTCAAGATGGAAAAGGACGTCGTAAGTTCAACAACACCTCGTCATTGCTTCATCCCAACACACTCTACATTATAGAAAACCAATAGATAGGACAGTGTTGGGTTGTAGTGAACCAAAGAAATCTAGGTTGAGTTAAATCCTGCCTACTCTTCTTCCATTCATTGAGGGGTGGGGAAAAAACACCTGCGCTTTATTTCTAGGTTAGCTAGATGGACCACAGTGCTCTCTACCTGTTAGCTGCTGGGTGCTAATCAAAGCTACATGAGATTGCCAAGAAAAGGAATTCCTTCAGTTTGACTGTCTTTTTCACATGTAACCTTCAGGACATTTCTGTCAAGTGAATTTACATACAAAACTGGGAAAGGAGTGCTTCATTCCAAATGAAATAACATTATTTCAAATGTAACTAATCTCCATTGCATGTAATCAGTTATTACCCAACACTGTTTTAACTCCTTATACATGTGTGATCAATTACCTTGTACATGAAACCAATGATAGAGAAAAAACAATTGAATTATGTCAAACAGGATCAGAACTGTATCTTTTAATGTCTGAAAGTTTCCGTGACTGCTCTCATGGTGTCACTGTTGCATCATGAAAGCATGGATCAGACATGGAGCAGAGCTAGAAGGAGTACAGAGTGTGTGGTGTATCAGGGCATCTTAAAATTCAACTATCCAAATATTAGACCCTTAAAATGTCTTCCATATGATTTGAACATTTGATTGTGGGGCGGCTGTGGCTCAGAGGAAGAGCGGGTCGTTCCTTAATTGTGGGTTCGATCCCCGGCTCCTGGTGCCACATGTCAAAGTATCCTTGAGCAAGATACTGAACCCCAAATTGCTCCAGATGCCGTGCATCAGTGTGTGAATGTGTATGAATGTTAGTTTCTGTTTGATGGACTTTGCCATCACTGAGTGAATGTGTGTGAAAGGGTGAATGTGGCACGTAGTGTAAAAGCACTTTGAGTGGTCGGAAGACTAGAAAGGCGCTATACAAGTACAGGTCCATTTACCATTTACCATTGTTGAGTCTCATTGCCAGGGTGTTAAATACAGACGTTTATGGACCCTGGACCCTCACCCAAAGCATCTTGCTGTGTTTAGTGGCTCTGATTGGTTGTTTTCGTTCAGGCCTGGTGGACTTTTCAAAATGTCATCAGGAGCACTAGGAGGAGCCAGATTGTTCACAGATTATCTGTCTCATGTACTACTGTCAGGATATAGGGAAGGTTTCCGTGAATGACAGAAAGTTATTTTCTAAGTTATCTACTGCAGCTTTAAGTTCAATTCCTAATGGTCTTCAGTTTAACCTGTTAAAACCTGCAGAAACCCAGGTAGTGTAACTTGTGTGTGTGCGTTTCTGTGTGTGTGTAGGCTGGCGCAGCAGCGGAGAAGCCCGCCTGGAGCGTCCTCAGAGACGACTTCATGATGGGAGCCACCATGAAAGACTGGGACAAAGACAGTGACGGAGAGGAGCCCAACACACACTCGGGAGGGAAGGCGGAGGAGAGCCATTCAGACTGAGGGCACTGTGTACACACGGCTGCAAGGCTTTCAGGGACAGTCTGGGAAACAGAAAGCCTGACCTGCAGAGTACAACTTCAGCCTCCATGACGTTCTACATGTCTGCGGTTCGAGATGAATTCATGGGGAAATGATGTAGTGGTTGTCCTTGTGATCAATGTGTGGTCATTTTTATAGCATCCTACATATTGAATATTGTGTAGAGAAGGAAAGACTGTAAAACATGGAACTATGCGGAACAGGATGTAACCGATATTGATCCTGGAGGAACTCAAAGAGGCTCCTCACTGTGTGGAGCTGCAGGTAATGAGCTCCTGTCTTCAGATCAGTTTGCTTCCATTTTGACTGCAGATATTTTATTATTGAAAGAGCTATGATGGTGTAAACTGTGTAAATAGGAATGTTTTGTACAGCGCTAGTTGAATAAACAGCCAGTCCATTTATCTTCAGTGCTCTGTGGTCTCCCTGGAGACTGGACTTGTGTCTGGTCAGAAAACTTGAGCGCTCAGGTCCCTTCCAGTGTAGTGTCAGGTGGAGATCCCTTTATGGTCAGCAGGGAGAGGAGGAATTGTATATGGCATGTGAGTGTTGTATTAATAATTATTCATTAATACCTGGAAAAATCCAAACCTATTCTTTAAAACACTCAGACTTTCACAGCACCTACCAGAATATATCACCACTATTATGACCAACATTAATAAATATCTATATATATATATCATTATATATTTATATATATATATATATATATATATATAATGATACTGTAGCATCCTGACAGTATTAGCCTGCTATACAACAGTATCCTTACGTTTTTGCCAGTGTGGATGTAAAATAGGTCTTGTAAAATACTGACACTGAGAATGAGACTCAACTATCAACTATCTTAAAGCCACCAACCTCAAGCGTCTTCATATCTTTCTCAGCTCTGATTGGTTGTTTTCATTCAGGCTTGGTGGATTCTTGCAAATACCATTAGGAGCACTAGGAGGAGCCAGAGGAGCCTGATTGTTTCACAGATCATCTGTCTTATGTTCTACTGTCAGGATATAGTGAGTAAATCTCAGCAAATATGATGGGAGCTCTACAAGAGCATGCAACATACATAGATATGAGGGGTTGTAAAAGGGTTAACAGGATAGAAGAAACTAAACAAGTGTTTTTATTTTTCAGGGATTATTTTTGCTATTTTCTTGGGAATTACATGATCATTTTATGTCTTTTGGCCACTAAAACTTAAATACATTACACAACCGGTATACACATATGTATGACTGTGGTTACAAGCTTTGTTTTAAAAAGTCACAATCCAATAAGGTTGGGAACTGCTGCTATAAGGGATAAGTCCCACAAGAAGACCAAAACCAACTATGTTAGTCCATCGCTCATAATACATTCTGACATCTTCACCATGTCTGTGTTACTCAGCTCTGTTCCCCTGGTTCATACTGAAGGTTTAAATCTTGAAAAACATGACTTTTGCATAATCTTTTTTTAAGCCTCTAATATCCTAAAACAGCTCATCACTGTAGTATTTAACACACATTACTCAAAAAGGAGCAAAACTGCAATTTTGTTGGGAACTATTTTCAGCAGCGCATTCATTAATGAACAACAATTAGGGGCGGCTGTGGCTCAGAGGCAGAGCGGGTCGTCCTCTACAGTACAGGTCCATTTACCATTTGGTGCTTTGGTGTATTTGTGTCAGCAGGGCAAGCAGGAACACGTGTGGCTCACTGGTGCTCTATGGCACAGAGGAAGAAGAATATGATAGAATATGAAGATTTTTGAAGCTTTGATACACACATAGATGTGTACATTATTGTTTACATCTTTAATGACACATAGAAAAATATTAAATATAACCAGACTAGTCCTTTAACCTGAATTGATTGTAAAGTGATAGTGGATGGCATAGCACACATAAATCCGTCAGAATTTATGAATAGAAGACTTTTCTGGGACACTGAGTTTGAGCCATTAAAGGGATAGTGTTGTATGAGGTGCTTATATAGTCAGTGGATTACCTACAGGAGGCCATTGGTGTGCCTCCAATTTGGAGAAACAGACTGTAGGTTGCACTGACTATGGATAAATACTTCAAACAACCTCACTTGAAACTTCCTGAACTAGCTCTTTAAAAAGCCACATCGTTGAACTCTAGAAACTGCTTTGTCCTTCAGAGCTGACCCAGGTGAGCCAGCTGTTCTACACTGATGTCCCAGCAGCCTCCTCCTCAGGCACTGATCAGTGAGGTGAAGTGGCGCTGACACTTCTGCTGACTCTTCTCCCTGACTGGTTGTACCGCGGGGCTTCCTGTGTCTGGCCCTTGCCGACAGCACAACCGTGGAAATATTTGCGCAGGGTGTTATCGGCAGAGAAGGGGGGCGGTGACGCGTCGGTCTGTCTGCACCACTCTGGGCGCTCGTCTGTCATGACAACGCTGCGGCCTGCCACTCTGGTATGCTGCCTTTTATCCCGGCCCTGTTGACACACAGCCCGGGGATCGGGCTGCAGTGTCGCCTCATTTACCACCTCGACTCTGTCTCTCTCCGACACTTGTGTCTGCTCGCTCGCAGCCACCTGCCAGCTGGCTCCATTTCAACTGCAGTGCTTTGGTGAGATATTCTGAAACCAGTGGCTGATAAATCTATTTTTACAACTCAGGTCTTAAGGTCACATTAGCCCTCTGTTCAATGAAACTACCCCGAAAGGATTGTCAGGATACATTCCAGACTTTTTTGACTGGGGTGGCACAAGTGGGCCGCTAACTTATGCATATATGGCATGAAGTTTGTGTCTCAGCTTTCCATTCATTCCCAATTTATGGAAAACTTTAAAACAGAAAGGATAAGGATAATAAGGTGGCACTTCGGTTGGCCAATCAGATTTCAAGGATGGCCAGTGCCAACCCAGGGACCACCTTCTGGACTTGCCCATGGATACACTGCAGAGAACTTCTCAGTTTCTAAACACTGCATCAACTACTGGTCGACTCTGTGAATCTGCCTGTCGAAGCTGAACAAAGACGACCTCTCACCTGCAAGAAAAAGCCATTTAGGAGCACTGCTTAGACCCAAAGGTGGCAGCGCATGTTTTACGGATGATTGCTGCAAATTGCAGATCATCTTACGAGTTTTACTCAGCCCCTGCATGGGTCACAAGTCTTAGTTCTGATGAAATAAATTTGAAGATATGTACAAATTATCTAATGTAGCAAATCGCAGCTTCCGTGCCAAAAATTAGCCCCTGTTTGGGGGTTCTGGTTTCAGGGGCCTCAGAGCTCGCATTACCAGGTTCCAAAACAGCTTTGTCTCCCAAGCTGTTACCCATAGGAACCTGGCTACCCGGTGAACTCCACAGACTCTCTTTGCACCAATGCCATATTTAAATACTACCTGCACAGACTCAGCTCTCTCATGCACTCCACATATATAACCTCTACTTTATGTCATACAGGTACATAACCTGTATCATCACCTTTTCTTTATCTTTTGACTGTTTTGGTGAAGCAGCAACCACACATTGTTAAATAACATTTAAGTTCAATTGAATAGGGGCCCATGGCTAATTTTTCCTGGGATCCCAACCAGGGTAATCCGGCCTTGGTACAATGTTATCATGCCTGATAGGAATAATGGCTAAAGCTATAAAAATAAAACTCAGTTGGAATAAAGTGGAATGATGCTTTAAACTTAACACCTCCTGAAAGTCTCGTCCTGGCTCACCTCCAGTAGTGTAACTCCTCAGCTTGCTGCAGTGATGTGCTGAGTTACTGTTTGTGTGGACTGACATGGAAGTATTGACAGTGTGCATGAGTAGATTTAGGTTTGAAAAATTATGAATTTAATTTTTCTGTCCCAGTACTCAAGGTATATTTATATTAGAGCTATTTATATATTTTTTCAGATTCAGAATCAGATTTATTGCCAGGTAGGTTTTTACACATACGAGGAATTCATCTTGGTGCAGTGGTGCTTAAAATATACATTCACACAAAAATATACAAATCACACAACAATTACACACAAAAAATAGAGTACTTTTAAAAAATAAATAAAGATAAGAAACTGTACAGAAAATGGGAGTGCATTATAGTAATGCATATGGTGGGTTTCAGAGTCAGTGTCAGTTGGGGATCCGGGGCTTGTTCATGAGGCCAGCTGCAATATTAGAGATCAGTCAACTCATTGATTTAACAGAACAGAAAATATGGTGGAATGCATGAGTTTGAGTTTTCAACTGTATTTAAAAAATTATATATTATGTAAAAAACGGTCACTATCTGTGAAAAAACTAATGTTTTCACATATTTTACTGTTCAATGCAATGCAAAAATGTTGAATATATATATATTTTATATTTAAAAAATATATACTATGCTACCTGTTACTCACATAATCTGTAGAAAAGTACCATCCTTATAACATAAATCAGTAGATTTACAGCCAAAAGAGTGACTGCAGACTAAGCATTTTCAAGAACAGGTACAGTAATAGTATGAAACTAGGACATTTTTCACTATATTCTGACATTTAATGGACCAATCGATTAATGTAGATAGTAGGCAGATTTACACATAATGAAACTGATCATTAATTGCAGCCCCAATTTATATAACCATATCAATTACAATGGAAATTATACAACTGAACTGCTTATGAAGACTGTATTATACAGTTGAAAGCTCTGAAACAAGTGAGTAAGTAGACCTAGAGTTGAAATAAGGGCTTTCCCTAAAATTATTTTTATTATTGATTATCCTGTTGATCATTTTCTGGATTAATCAATTAGTTATTGTCCGTAATATTTCTAAAATTCGTAAAATGCTGATCAGTGTCTTCCAAGCCCAAGCTGACATCCTCAAATGTCTCTTTTTATCCACAACCCAAAGATATTCAGTATACTGTCACAGAGGACTAAATATATTCACATTTAAGAAACTAAAATCAGAGAATTTGGACTGACTATTTCTGAAAATGATAACTTGATTATCAAAACTAAAAAATTATTTCACATGACAACTAATGCATTAATCAACCAATCATTGCAGCTCTAGCTGAAATGATTTGAACAGTTGCTGTTTCCAAAGGAAACTGTCAATTTTCAAACTGCTTTAGCCAAACAGATCTGAGATTTGTGTTCATCACAAGACAAGACAAACCTAAAGGAGGTTGCCTTTAGGAGTTTGCTGTGGTAAAGACTCTTGGAGGTTCAGGTGCAGAACTTGTTGTATAATCTGGTGTTATGGTACAGATGAGTCTGGGACAGAGTATATTTAGTTCATGTGCAGAGCTTTGCTGAAAACATCAAATCCTATCCTGCATGTTCCTCCTGTCTCCTGCTGCAGCAGTTTTTCCTCGAGTGGAACAGGTGTTGGAAGGGACACTCTCAAACACACACCTCGCTCACATCTGTCTGTGTGGGTACTGATTTAGTGACACCATCTGGTTTGCAGCAGCCTCTGGATGCAGAGAATTGGAGAGCGGCTGTCGGGCCTGATGGATGGCTGGCTTTGGTCCAGTAGAGCGTGGAGGGCCGGCACCAGGCTTTGGCAAATAATGAAAAAATAGTGGGATTTTTTAAGTGGGGTGAGTGAGAGCATAAATCAAGCTGGCACGCAGCAGGCTCAGAGTATATGGGCGGGGGAGCACATGGTGGAACCGGTCCTGTCTGGTAACATCTGACATGGTATCCAATCACACCCTGATCCACCAATTTTGCTGATTCGCCGTTGTGGTCCCTGTCAAAGACACACTTGATTCTTCCACAAATCACATCAGGTCTGCCTGGGAGGTCTGATGCATACAGCCATCTGCATCCACCCTGATGTTTAAGATCCTGTCAGTGTGAGGAATTTCTAAAGATTTAACTTTCACATCAGTTGGCTACAACAGCGATCCCCAGCCAGGGTGAGTTAATGTGTGTATATCCACTTACTGAGTCAGCTGTAACAACACTAACGTTATGCAGTATTAGCAGAGAGGAGAATAAATGGTTGAGATGGATAGCTAATTATCAACTATTTATGCATAACCTATAATAGTGGCAAATTGATAAATGGTTGAAATTGTTAGCCGAGAGGACCAGTGTGTAGAATTTAATGACATCTAGAGGGGTAGTTGCAGATTACAACTCCCACAACATTTTTGCTTAATTGTGTTCAGTGGTAGGAAGTGGAGACAGGAATGTCCATCCTTTTTATGTCGATGGACAGACTCCGTGGAGGATCTGCTCCCTCTGTAGAAAAAACTGCTCAAGGTAACAAAAACACTTTCTATTTTTCTATTCTTATTTTTTAATTTCATCATACACAAATAAAAACATACCTATGAATATTATATTCCATTCCTGACAATTGACCCTCCTAAATGTTCAACAAAAAAAATGAAGGCAACAGTTTGTATCGATCTTTTCAAGTTCTACTGAAATTATGTTCAACAAATGTACTACATTGAGTTAGGGCAACTAACTTAAATGAACTTGTTAACTAGTTCTTTCAAATAATGTATGTCAACACAACTCATCAAAATAATGTTTGCAGCCTAAAAGGTTTATCTAAATCAATCAATTAGATGTTTTATCTTGCAACCATTCATTTATTAAATAGTGACAATTGGTCCATTGAATTACTTTTTAGAGTGAAAAGACCATTTTGTAATGGACAACAGATAAACACAAATAGCTTCATTAGCAAATACTAGCGGCTAACTGATACTAGCAATACTTGTCTGAGGAAGTACCCTTTAAACAGGACAGGCATGTTTTTATGACTAAAAAAACGATTCCATAAAATAAGGACAAGTAAAAAATAGAATGGTAGGTCCAAAAAATCCTAGAGAATGTCTCATGATGTTTGTTCTGCACTGTGGACTCATGGTGTCCTACCACTTGTCCATCCATAGTCAGTGTTACTCAAGAAATCAGCTGCTGAATGTCAGCATTTTCATTTCACAAGCTAGTTTCCAGCTTGGTGGCATTCACTATCACAAAAATGAATCCAAGAATGTGATCGGACTGTTGGATTTCATATCAGTAGGGGGTGACAGCAAAAGGAAGGTTGTACCTAATTATTTTTTGGGGGATCATTATAATATTATTATTTAAACGTATTAGTAATTAGTTACACTACTAGTTACTGTGAAAAGTAATATTATTAATGTAATGTTATTACTAGTAATGCTTTACTGTCCACAGGTGTGCAAAGGTATAAAAGAAAAAACATTGACATTCTGCAGTGTTTCATGTGTTCCAGCATCATGATGGAGTGCCTATAAGCTCAATAACCGTCAATCAATAACTCATCATTAGAGTTACATAAATGATAAACAGTGAGGATACATAGGGTTTAAATAAAAGTTGGACCAATGGAACTGTAACATGGACAGAAACTGAGACCGATTCAGGAGTAGAAACTAGAGAAAAAGGAGTTTCAGACTTCGCTCTGACCGGCTTTAGGACCCTGCGCCACGACGCACCGGGGGCCAATGGGCCATTAGCTGTTGCAGCGATGTCCCAATGGGCACAGCGAGCACTCCTATTTACAATAAATCGTCTCGTAACGTGGAATTGAAGGGGTCCCCTTCTCCGACAGTGATGACCACAACCTCGGTTTGAAGCGGGCGGAGGGGGGAGCACGTGGTAACTTTAGTCCCTTATAAATCTCCTACAAGCGGCCGCTGCTGTCCGCTTGGCACGCGTAAAGGACGAGCCATTCCCCAACTAGATGGGGTGAGGGAAGACGCGTGAAAGTGCTCCGCAGTCACACCGAAGACAAACTCCGAGCTGGCTGTTTTTCCACTGAGCTGCTTTTGAAGGAAGACTTTTTCAGATCGCAGCTTTGTGTGGATTTTTCACTCCGTCTTAACGCGTCAGCCAAACTTCTAAAACGTTCGCACCTTGCACCCCTGCTCAACGCCAGGACCGCGTTGGCAGTTTTGATGCTTTTAAAACAACTTTGTGATCTGCTTGGAGAATTAAAAGGCAATGAACTGCACATCGAGCCGATGAGGATTGACAGATAGAGAGCTCGGAGCAGTGCTGGTGTTGGCCGAGGTGCGGTTGAAGCTGAGCGCTCTGATGCGGTGGAGGTGTGCTCAGTCCCGCAGGCTAGACGGCTGTGCGTCCCGCTGACGATAACCCCGCAGCTGTTTTGAACTCTGTTTTCATCCACACACTTCAGATCCGTTTGATGGCCGCGTGTCCACCTCTGGAAACACTCAGCTGCACCTTTACGCACTCTCGCTGTGCGTCTGCCGGGAGTAGATCCCTTCTGAACGAATAACGGGTCTCTCTCTGTGCCGGGAAAGTTGAATGGATTTTCAGGTACACTTTACTGAAAGTGGGGAATTTGAACCATACGATTTTCACATAACTGTTCGGGGCCACTTGGCTCGTGTGCGTAAATGCTCTCAACTTTTATTTTTGTCCAAGAAATGCGTCTGACTGGCAACATTTAAACCGCCTTGGTTGATATTTCCCTGAATCTGTTTTTCTGTTTGAGATTTGAAGACGCTGGAGGAGAAGATGAACCTGTGTATCGCCAGTCTTCTCCTCACTTTGGATTTGGCCACCGTGGCGCTCAGTTTGTCCACATGCAGCACGCTGGACATGGATCAGTTCAAGAAGAAGCGCATTGAGGCCATCCGGGGGCAAATCCTGAGCAAACTGAAGCTCACCAACCCCCCAGAGGACTTTCCCGAGCCCGAGGAGGTGTCCCGGGACATTGTCGCCATTTACAACAGCACCCGGGACCTTCTGCAGGAGAAGGCGAACGAACGGGCAGCGACGTGCGAGAGGCAGCGGAGCGAGGAGGAATATTACGCTAAGGAGGTGCACAAGATCGATATGCAGCCCTTCTACCCGTCAGAGAGTAAGTGTGTGTGTGTGTGTGTGTGTGTGTGTGTGTGCGTGCGTGTGTGTGTGTGTGTGTGTGTGTGTGTGTGTGTGTGTGTGCGTATGTGTGTGTGTGTGTGTGTGTGTGTGTGTGTGTGTGTGTGCAGGCCCTATGTGGCCGCACTGATGTCACAGCAGTGTGAAGTTAAAACGTCTCAGATAGCTTAATAGCTTGTACGTGGTCACGTGTGTTTGTGATTGTCTTGGAAATTATGTCCCATCATGCTCTGCTGGATGAGTGCAGGGGGAAACTGCCAGATAGAGCTGCCTTTCTCAACATCAACAACTTCTCCTCCTCTCACTCAGAGCTGTGTGTGAGGTGGCAGCTTTATTATCTGTACCATGGCCAGAACCCGTTCAGAGGCCACCGCCAGTACTCTTGTGCAGAACCTGGTGTTCTGTGTGTCAGTCAATTTCAATTACTTACATTAGTCCTTCATTTTGATACAGTGATACAGTGTCCTGCAAAATAGGGCCACCACAATATAATGTAGGACCTGTCTTTGTTGGTACTTAAAGCTTCTAACTTTTAGTCATATTTGCTGAAACTTTCACTATGAGACAGATCAACTCTGGAAAAATCTGGTTCCTCTGGATCATCCTAGTGCTCCTAATGGTATTTGTAAGAATCCCCCAGGCCTGAACGAAAACAGCAAATCAGAACGTCTGTGCCGTCAGTGCCTGTGAATTAGACTCGGCAATCAACTGTTTTTCTTGGCTGTGATTGGTTGCTTTAATCCATGCCTGGTGGATTCTTGCAAATGCCATTTGGAGCACTAGGAGGAACCAGAGGAACCTGGTTTTTCACAAATGATCTGTCTCATGTGATACTGTCAGGATATAGTGAAAGTTAAAGCAAATATGACCAGTATGACCTGTCTGTGTTCAATGGAATTTGCAGGTTTGTATTTTCAAATCAAATGTGATATACATCAATGGCAGACTGAGGAGCAGTGTGAACAAATAGAAAGGGCACCAGCTTAGTCAGGGTGAGGATTAGTACCTTAGAAGGTGCCAAAAAACTGCAAAAATAATTGTAATTTTTAAAAATATAATTAATTGAAAATTGAAGGCAGCTTGCTCCAGTGACAATAAAACCGCTAGTAGTTGGTGATTGGTAAGATTTGCGGAAAAGTTGCGGTGATCTGACAAAATTGCAAGCTCATACAGAATTCACAGGAATTAGTTGAATTTGCTTTTTTCCTATTTTCTGGAAGGGCTACCCTATAGGGCACTTTATCATGTTTTATGTCCACCAGTGTATATGTATGTCCCTGTTAGTAGTGCTGGAATTTGTTTTCTGAATTTCACTGTCTTGTTGAACAAGACGAGAATTAAAAAAATATATTTTTGCCACTTTAACTTGACCTAAGTTTTTTTCTCCTCTAGTGTGGGCCCACTGTGTCTCTCCATGCAGACAGCTTTTGGTTTTGTTCACTCAGGTTTAGAGTTAGATGCCTCTGAGAGTTCTGCCTCATACCCACTCACTGGAACTACTTTCTACTAAAATTATAATCCCTATAAACTGTTGACTGTGTGCCACAGTAGCATGGACACTTGCTGAATTGACAGTGTTAGGCACGTTTATTCTCACTGCACTCCCCTTAGTTGATCAAGTTCCTCTATGAAAACTATCAATCATCTAACAGAGAAACCCAGTACACCAGCATCCCAGCTGTTTAGCAGTAAACAGGACAGACTGGCCCTGCAGTCTGCTGCTCTGTCTACCTCACTGTCTCTGGGTACACTTCCCACAGCAGGGTTTAAAGCCTCATTAAAGAGCTGATTTTGGGCAAAGTTGGATTAGGACTCAAACACATTGTTGCAACCAGAGTGATCATACAGATTCATATCTGTTTTTTATTGTCCATTTGATGTGAAAGCAGCTGCAGAATGCAGCTTTTAAAGCAGAAGGGAGTGAACTGAACAGAATGTGATGATATTGTCATCAAATTTCCAAATGCAGGTGCTGACTTTAGAGGGGTGGCATCATGACAGTGATGACTAGTAAAGACAAGTTGTTATTGTACTGAGTATTGTGAGCAGTTAGGCACAGACCACAATGAGCACATATTTACCCTTTTACTCTTTAACACTGGCTACCTCATGTTTCCCAACCCTTTTATTCAGATATACCCCCACAGTCCTGCCAGATCAACACCACCAATTATATTCCAAACCTTTTCATTTGAATTAATAGAATTTTTCATACAGTTTAGTTGGCTGCACTTGATTTTGACTCGTCTGTAGCAGGAAACAACGGTCACACAAATATTGTATTCCAGATAAACAGTGCACTAAAATATGTTTGACATATGTTTTGACAGTTTGATCTGAGTTTGGTGCGTTGAGCTGGACAGACTCACTGACATTGACCTGTCTCTACTACAAAGTAGCCACGCCCTAAAGCATACCCAGCTTTATCGTCTATTTTGCTCCTAATGGGACCATCATTTACCATAATTTGTATCATGCTGTATGGAAGAAGACTGAAACTAGAGATTGGGACCATAAACTCATTAGGGAACTGTTTATTGAGCTAATAAATCAAGTCAGAAGTAGGGTCATTTCTCCATAAGACTCAATACTATCAGACTTCTTTGTTGCAACCAATGGAGCTGCCCCCTGCTGGCCATTAGAAAGAATGCAGGTTTAAGACACTTCACTTCCCAGACCTGGAAACTCTGTCCACTTATTATATACTGTCAGTGTAAAGTAGTATGTAGTGAGTTGAATATTGGCATTATCATCACTAAGAAGCATATGCAAGCTCTTTCTCACTCTTTCTCCCACTCTTTTTTACCATTAGGCAGCTCACTGGAAAAAAAATGCTTCTGCCTGGCAATATTCGACCACCGCTGTGAATATCTTCCTTCCTATCTTAGACATATTCATGACCCATTTGTCCTTGTTAACAGTGTCTAACTTGGAATCCCCTGTAGTTGACGTAATAACATGGTGTTGATCTTTGATGTTTCTAGGATTTTTCCATGTGGACAATTTTAATATTTTTATGTGTAAAGTTTGGTGGAGCATCCCCATAGGTACTAACATCAATATCAGCCTTAAATGACCAGTTTGTAGGATTTAGTGGCATATATATCAGAATAGTTGCAGATTGCAGCCAGCTTAATACTGCTGACCTTCCAAGCGTGTAGGAGAAACTGTGGTGGCTATGAAACTCATGAAAATCGGCCCTATCTGGAGCTAGTGTTTGGTTTGTCTCTTCTGGGCTACTGTAGAAACATGGCGGTTCAACATGGCAGACTCCGTGGGGTTAGGGTTAGTGTTGTGTGATCAAGCCTAAATTCAGACTAAATGCATCAGGCATCATGCTGCACGCTGCTGCCCTACCGCATAGCTGGTGCCCTTTTTATTTTTTTTGCCCCTGCCCCTCAAACAGCCTAAAAAAATTCCAACATTTTCAGATTGAACTAAAATGCAAAAATGCATACTAACACCTGAAAGCTCCTGACCTTTGACCTCCCATGTGGAGAAGATGAATTTCTCGTTCAGCAGATCAAAGAAACATCACAAGAAAGGCACGGGTGTGGAAACAAAATAATTATATTAGATGGAACTGTAGCACTATTAACCCCAAAATGTTTTTTCCCTTCACATCAGAAATGTGAGCACATGAACTGAAGCATAATAAATTAGTGCAACATTTTGTATGCCCCAAGGTGTATTTTGCATTAAATGTTATGCTTGGCCCTGCCTCTTGTGTAAATACCTTAAATATGAATAGATCGGGCCTGATGCCAAGTATAGCCAGGAGAGCGTTTACAGGGTATAAATAATACTGAGTCAACACGCAGGGAGGAAAGAGGCCAGAATTGATTCCCATTCATGTGAGCTGGTGACACTGGCCAGGTCCTCACATCTGGAGACAGATTCTGACAGGAGAGAGATCAGGCAGTTAACCCTTCAGCGGCTCTATTTATTTAGTCTCTTTTACTTGACGTGTGAGCGTGAGTTGCTGTGAGAGTGAATATCACACACACACACACACACGTACCACACAGGGTATCTGCCTTATTTGGTTGGGCGCCAGGAAGTCCTCAGAGGCAGCAATGTGGGGCACAATTGCCCTGGAAGCCTTACAGAAATGCTGGGCAGCAGGGTGAGGGGGTGTATATGGGCATGCTGGAGGCACTGTCCCAGGTCTCACAGCCATCTATTTAAACCCAGTTAGCTCTGAGGCATTGTGTGTGTATACCCGGCCTGCCACTCGCTCTATGGAAAATTCCAGCAGAAGAGATACTCTGTTGCTGGGCTTTGGACGGGTAGAAGGAAGACCCCTCCAACTGCCACTACCTCCCCCCAGCCAGATTCTATTCCTTCCCATCCTACCCCTTTGTCATTCTACTGGCATTTATCTGCAGAGTTGCAAATAACTTTTAAGGTCTGTTATACTGACATCACAAGTTAAAGGGGAATTCAACTAATTTTACACACAAATGTCATGAGGAGTTCTACTCAGCCTGTGAAAAGACTCACAATGTCTTCTGTGGCTCTGGAGACTTTGCCAACTCTAAGTAACCCCCTGATGATGTCATAAGCTGGACATTGTCTAGACATTGTCTAGAGTTGCCCTTTCACACACGTAGCACACAGCAGGACATTGTCCATGTCAGACATGCTCTCACCTACTGGAAACACTTTGGGTTAGGGGAGGGGTGGCACCAAGGTGCGTAATGATTTTGTATTGATATCAGTGCAACATCTATTTGGACGTATCTGTGGTATCAACGAGAGAGTGGAAAGAAACAAACACGCAGGCAGAAAAGAGTAAGGAGCAGCTACAATCAGACATTGCACAGACTTTGTACCACAGAGGTGGCAGGGTAAAGTCAGTTTAATGTCCAGTTCAACTGATTCAGACTTTTGCATTCTCACATACAGCTCCTCTGGGTAATGTCGTGATATGGTCTGGGTTGCATTGCAAAGGGACTAAAGTGATGCCATCAGGGTTGT